TTCAAAGGGAAAAGAAAGGAAGAAAGAACAGTGAAGCACTTAGAAATTTCCAACAGGAGATAGTTATCATTAAAAGAAACATAAGTTTTTTTTTTTCCTTCCTATTGATGATCTAAAATGGACACTGCACTTAAAAATCTTGAGCCCATCGTGGTGGCACTCCGCTGTAGTAATACTAGCACTTGGGAGGCTGAGGCAGGAGGATTGTGAGTTCAAGGCCAGCTGAATTGAGTTTCAGTCCACCCTGGATTGTATACCCAAGACCCTGTCTCAAAACACAAAAACAAAGCAACAAAAAAAAGATTTTTTTCAAAGCGAGATGTACTGTGAATTACCACACACTTCCCACATCTGGACATTTCTTCAGTTGCCAGTCTTATTACACAATGTCACCCTGTTGATCAGTTCATAGCAAATTTTCACATCATGTCTTTGCATCTGTCCATTTCAGTTTGTATCACTGAAATACAAGGAAGAATTCCCTCTTTAAAAGTATAAACTAAGACAGACATGGGTGGCACACATCTGTAATTCTAGCACTGACAAGGCTGAGGTTCCCTGGACTACAAAAAATAACTATATACATATATGTATATGTGTATATATATATATAAATAAAATGAAAGCATATGCTATCATCATCATCATCTCCTTTTAAAAAGCAGGATTGTTTCTGATACCATCAATAGACAATTGGTATTCATATTCCCCCTTCTATCAAAATATGTATGTATATTTATTTGCTTATTTTTTGCAGGTGCTCTACACCATAAGCCACAAGAGCCCTTTTTTTGCTTTTTTTTTTCCAGATAGGGTCTCATGATTTTTCCACGGGTCAGCATCAGATCGTAGTCATGCTGTCTCTGCTTCCTGAGTACCTGGGATTGCAGGGATGCACCACTGTACCCTGCTCTTTTCTTTTTTTTTAAATAGTGTAAGTCAAAGTCACATTCATACTAGATGTATGAATTATGACTTTGTGATTGGTTACCATGTCTCTTAAGTCTCTTTTAACCTGAGTTTTAAATTTCTTCTTGTTTTTCAGTTCTTGCAATTTCTTTTCAAAAAAATTTTATCATTTTTGCATTTACTCACATGTGTACACATTGTGTGGGTCACCTCCCCCCACCTCCCATTGCAATTTCTTTTTTATGGAGAAAAGCACATTTTTAATGCTGTAAACAGTGACTTTCAGACTTTTGCTCTCAAATTTCTTTATAAGTAAAAATAATAGGAAGCACACTCATTGTGGCAGCAATAGACTAAAAAAGGTGGAACGAGCCAGAGATACCATGGTCTCTGTGCAAGGATGACACACAAATTGGTGAAGAGTTCCATCAACAGAAAAAAATAACTCAAATAGGTATTGTTTTCTAGGTTTATAAACATAATATGCATATACTGATATTTATTAGAAATTGATCATTTTACTATTTATTTAAAGTAACAATAAACCCTGCACATAATATACATAAGCATAATGTTTATGAAACAATGATAGCTTCACAGTATAAAAATGAGAGAAATACCATTGTTTCTCAGATTTGCAAATCTATCTTAGTATCTAGATTAATAGGCGATAGCTAGATTCTTTGTTTTCTTTATCATTTTTACATTTACTTACCTGTATACATTGTTTGGGCCACCTCCTCCTCCTCCCACCCCTCACCCCCACATGATAGCTAGATTCTTAGGTCTGTTTCTGCATTAAGTCTGTGGCAATATGGGTTTTTTGGTTTGGCTTTTTTTTTTTTTTTGCAGTATTGGCCTTCACCTTGAGCCCTATTTTTGTGAACAGCTTTTTGAGATAAGGTTTCGAGGAACTGTTTGCCTGGGCTGACTTTGAACCACAATCCTCCTTATCTCTGCCTTCTTAGTAGCTAGGATTACAGGCGTGAACCACCAGTGCCTGGCTCAATATGCTGTTTTTGTTGAAGTATATGGAGAAAATCTGGGTTCATGTAGAAATGGGACTAGAAAAGAATGTTTTACTAGTCTCCTCAATAATAGTGTACGTTCTTCTTTGGTACCAACCCACACTCAAAGATGGTAGTTTCTTAAAGGTGAGTTGAATGTGCAGTTTGAAACCTTCTCAGTGAACGTTTCACACTCTGTAGCATCAGAATTAATAAGTCTGCCTGGCAGTTTGAATGGATCCCTTCTCTGTATGCAGTTTCAGAACATCATCTGTTGGTCATTTCAAAAATGCTGCTTCATTGAATTGTGCAGTCTACCCAATGTTGACATGTTTCATTGTGAGATATTTTAAATATCACAGTCATGTTCACCACTATCCCTTCATCTTAGTAAACCCTTAGCTGTTGGGAAACCATCAAGTTCATGGTTGTGGATACAAGTTTTCCAGAATCCCAATTTTACCCCAAATGCTCAAATTTTACTGTTCGCAATAAGTACTGTCAACATTTTCGTGATGTGACAGGCTCACTTCATTTATTTCTCAAAAAATATTTGTCAAGAGTCCAAACTCAAATAGGCATAGTTTTACATATTTAACAGTTTGTTAAATAAAAGGTGGCGTTCCATGCCAAGATCAGCTAGTTTTGCTTGTATTTGAAACAGTTCAAGTGCTTGTTTTCTTTTCCAAGTAATGAGTTGTTTCCCATGTATCCTCAAAAGGTATTCGCTGTTGCTTGTTTTGAATATCATTATGAACTCACAGACTTAAACTCATTTGATGTGTGTCAATTCTCTACAGCTAGTCGGTGGACTATTTCACCTTGTTTTGATCAGCAGCAACCTTCTTCAAGTTGATTCTTGAGTTTGTTGTACATGACCTCTGCTGTCTTTGAAAGTTTCTTGCTTTCTTCTTTGGCAAGGTGCTCCAGGCTCATTGTGGATGTTTCTTGCTACTGAGCAGAAATCAGTTTCCTCTCTGGGGAGGTTTGGGAGAAGTGGTATTTAGATATCAAAATCTCAGCTCCAGGATGCTCGTTATCATCAACTGGTGATTGTTTCTAGACTTTTTCAGTGGAGGACGTTGGGAAATATACATATTTTTAAAGTGAAAACACTTTGTATATTCATTCTGATACTTCCCATTCAAACTTGGGATCCACTGATGTTTCGTTGGTAGGCTAAGACGCCCACATAATTGCTTATTTCTTTTGTCTTATGTGGATGGCAGTCTTAGAGCAGTGTCAGTATTACCACCATGATGTGATTATAGAAACTGTTTTGCAATTAAAAATGTGAAAATGAAAGCAGTGACAGTTTAGCTTGCCAAATTGATTATCTTACTATTGATGTTTGCTACACATTTTATGACTGTTTTCCTGTTTCTTAGAACAACAGTTTGGCTGATATTTCAACTGAATTGAGTAAATTTTACTTGCTTTCTCAAAGACTCAAAACACATTGTGCATTTGTTGTATTACTGGATCAAATATGTAATTGTTGAAGTTGATGTAGATGTTAGTCACTAATGGACTAAAGTTCCTCTTGTTTTTTTGATATCAAAATGGTGGCTTTTCTGTTTATCAATATTTTACTCAGTATTCCCACCCTTTCTGTGATTTTGCTTTTTGAGATTTCAGTTACCTGAGGTCAACAGCAGTCCCAAAATATTGAATGGAAAAGTCCAGTAGTGATTAATTTATAAATTTTAAATGGTGTTCTGGATAGTGTGATGAAATCTTGTATTTTCCTGCTCCATTCTGCCCAGGACATGACTCCTTCTTTGGTCCAGCATATCCATGCTGTATACACTACCCACTTCTTAGTCACTTGATTGCTTTGTTAGTTACCAGATCCATTATCTAGTAATCATAGTGCTTGTATTCAAGTAACACTTACGTAACTTTATAATGGCCCCCAGATGCAAGGGTAGTGATACTGACAATTTGAATATACCAAAGAGAAGTCTCAATTTGTTTCCTTTAAGTGAAGAGGTAAAAAATTTCACCTTAATAAGAAAAGAAAAAGAATCATATGATGAGGTTGCTGAGATCTACAGTAAGTTATTGTTAATCTCTTACTGTACCTGATTTATAAATTAAACTTCATTGTAGGTATATATGTTTGTGAAAAAAAAACATAGTATAGGGCTGGGAATGTAGCTCATGATAGAGTGCTTGCCTAGCATGCATGAGGCTCTGGGTTCAATTCCCAGTACCACAAAGCAAAACAAAACAGTACACATAGGATTTAATACAGTCTGTGTTTTCAGTTATCCATTGGAGTCTTGGAACATATTCCCAAGAATATGAATTCATTCTTTGTTCATATCTACTCTTTTTTTTTTTTTTTTTTTCTTTTTTTTTAGTATTGGGACTTGACCTCAGGGTCTTCATTTTGAGCCACTCCACCAGCCCTATTTTTGTGAAGGGTTTTTTGAGATAGGGTCTTGAGAAACTATTTGCCCGGGCTGGCTTCGAACCATGATCCTCCTGATCTCTGTCTTGTGAGTAGGTAGGATTATAGGCGTGAGCCACTGGCACCTGGCTGCTACTCTCTTTTCAATGTCTTAAAATATAGTGAAAAGAAGGGAGGGAGGGAAAGGAAGAAAGAAAAACTTCAGAGGGCAAGAAATTCAGTTCATATAGCATCATGAAGTTTTGTTTGAAGTGAATGTGCTGTGTTTCAGTGAATTCCTTTTTTTTTTGAAAGAGTAGTGAAAGTTTGCTATAATATTTTTAAACTACTTTTAAATCTATAATTTGCTAGGGATTACACTATGAAAAATATTAATGATACGTATATAAATGTATGTATGCATAGATAGTTTTGTGTGTTTTTTTTTTTGCTGCGCTGGGAATTGAACCCAGGGCCTCAGACATGCTAGACAAGCACTCCAGTGCTCATCTATATCCCCGACCCTTGTAATAGACATTTTTGAAGCAGTTGTTTTTAGATCTACGAATACAGGATAGTGTGATCAAGAAGATTATGTACTTAAGGGAAACAGAAGTCATGATCACTAAATTAACCACTGATTTGCATGTGAACCATTTAGTGGTATTCCTTTTTTTTCCCTCTTTCAGGTTAAAAAATAAATCATGACTGAATCTGCTTCTAGCACAAGTGGTCAGGAGTTTGATGTATTTAGTGTTATGGACTGGAAAGATGGAGTGGGTACATTACCAGGAAGTGACTTAAAGGTAAGTTATCTTTATTCCATAAAATTATGTGCTGTGTGCATCTGCAAATGTGATTATTTAAAAATGGATACATACATGAAATAAGAATTAAAGACATTAAGCACAATGCTTCAGGTCTTGTATAATGCTTGGACCTCTACAATAAACTTGTAAATCCATTTGAAATGCTGGCAGGTTGGCAGAAGCTTTTGTCAGGCACTTGAGTTGAGGGCTAAGGTGTAGTGCGGCATGTGCTTATTTTGCAGAAATTGATCTGCAGCTTCCAGGAGGGTCGCTTCAGTTTTGGCTGATAGATGCAGAAACGCAGACTTAGAAGTCCTAGCTTTGTGGATTTTGTACTAATGGGCTTTGTAACTTTGAGTGAAAAAAACAGAACAAAACCAAAAAACCCAACACATTTCCTATTTAGAAACTTGATAAAATAATGTCAAAATAGTGAATAATCGGGACTGTCTACCTCCTTTAAATTGTGGATTTTTTGTGTAGTCACCTGTTCAGAAGAAAGGCCTTCCTGTAACTCAGATTATTTTTGTGTGGTTGGGAACTCTCTTCAAGATCGGCAGTCTGCTCCTTGTGTATAACTTGCCTTGTCCCTTGTTCCAGGCCCCCAATCCCACTCCAGGACCACGCCTGCTGCCCCCACGAAATGTGGTTGTGCAGGCACCATCTGGAGAGACAGCTGACCTCACTTCTCATCTCTAATTTGCTTTGCTCTGATCCTATCTCTGAGACCTTGAACCTACCTGTGGCCTTTTAGACTTTGTGTTTGCACTCAATCCCTCACGTGTTTGAACTTCGGATCTCCCTAACAGGCTGTCACTTGGCCTGCCGCTCCACTGCTCCATGTTCTGGGCTGTCTGAAATCGAAATTTCTTCCCCCTCACATAGGCTTCTTGGAATCTAATCCCTTTTGGTGGCTGTGTGATAAGTATCTTAGTAGCCAAACCTGCCCTCATGCATCCTCAGTAGTGTGATTTGGACAAAGTGTTGTTGAGATTTTAGTTGAGTTTGGTTTAATTAAGTGCAATGTGCCAGCATACCTAAATTTAGTGAAATCTGAAATTTTTTTTTAAATGGGCACCAAGATACAGGTAGGAGTATTTAGTTCTAGTGTTCTACAGAAAATAGGGTAACTGTAGTCTAGGGCAATGTATGATATATTTGAGAATAACTGAAAAGGAAGATTCCAAGGGTAACCAACACATAGAAATGCTAGTTACCCTGATCTGAGCACTGCAGTTTGTATACATGTATGTAACTAGCACACTGTACCCCATGAATGCTCACAGATAGTATGTACCGAGGTAAAATCATAAAAAAAAGAAATTTGGGTCTTTAGTTTTAGTTTGCCTGACCTTGAACAAATCAGTTAATCCTTTTGGGTAATAAAGTAAGGAATAGAGTGAATCCTGACATTCTCCAGTTGTCCATCTGGATAAGAAAATGATGGAGATAGATGGCTGAAAGTTTTTGAGGGAGAAAAACCTGATTTCTCAACCTCTGATAATGTCAGTCGTATATTAGCTGCCTGAGCTTTGTCAAATTATTTGATATCCCTAAATTTTGGAAGTCTTATCTGTGAAATGGGGCTATAAAGTGGTTTTGAGGATTTCATGAAATATATATGTAAATATTTTACAAATTGTATACTTTCTGGTTTTGCAATGCTTTATATAAGCTGCCTCTTATTGCTCCACTCCCTTTTTTTCTTATACAGTTTTATACCTTTTCTTCTCAGCAGCTCTTTTAGAAAAATGTTAGGTAGCTGATGAAATCTATAACTTTCATTTAGTTAGCTTCTGACAATAGAGTGAAATTTCCATCGCAAGAAATTTAGATTGCTTTAGGTTTTCTAAGCAATGAATTTCAGAAATTAACCTGTTTTATTAAGGCAATCAGGTAGTTATATCATTTGGTGAGTATTATGATCTGAATTATTTGATAAGACTTTTAGACTCATGTACTTACTGAGGGAATTACCACATGTTCAGTCTACTTCATGAACTGTAGACAGTTTGATACTCAATTAAAATGAAGTAAAAATTATTTTTCACATTTACAATCCCTTTTATCTGAGTCAGGGCCTATCCTGTTGATTTTATGGCTTAAGATATCTAATTCACTTGTTCCTTACATTAAAAAAATCTTTGTTGCTTAGGAGATTGAGAAATTAATTTTTCACAAAATTAATTTTAGCCACGCTGCCAGTCCTTTTGCTTTTAGGATTATTATTATTATTTTTTTCAGATAGCATCTCAAGCTTTTGCCCAAGTGCCCTTAGACTGTGACCCTCCACCTCCTGAATAGCTGGGATTATAGCTGTGTACCACCATGCTTGGCTTGTTTTTGAGAAGGTCTCACCAACTTTTCCCGGGCTGGCCTTAAACCATGATTCTCCTGTTGCTGCCTCCTGAGTAGCTGGGGTTGCCATGAGTCTTCTGCTTTTTCATAGGTATAGGCTTGTGGGTCTCCTAAGAGTCAGTGCCTAAGACACCCAGCTGAAGTTCATTGAGCTGTTACAGCCGGCCAACACACAGAGGTCAATTTCTCGTCATGGGAATAGGTTCTTTATGCTTAGATTCTGTGAAAGGCTCATGATTGCTAGACAGTCAGGTTATGTCACTTTTCTGCCTCAACTCCTTGACTGATTGCTGGTGTTTTTCACAGCCAAGTACAAGCCTCTGAGGCTTTTCACAGGAGTTTTTAGTGCTCTGGCTCCCAGTTTTCCTTTGGCTCCCCTCTGTATGTTTTCTACTTACCCCAAACCACTAGTCAAAGACTTTTACCTTGGCCCCTTAATATTCTTCCCTGTTGCTGTACTTCCCTTCCCCTTTTCACACCGGGTTGGTTAAGTAACCCTACTTATTCAATAAAGCACAAACGTCATCTTTGGATGCAGGAGTGGAAAGATTAGAAAACTTACTGTCTCTGGTCAGCACTTTATCTGCATCTGATTTATTGATCCTTATTTAGCTCTTTGAGGTAGTGTCTGTCCCTCTCATCAGGTTACAGATGGGGAACCTGAGGTTCAGAGTGGTTATTTCATTTGCTCACGTCAAGCAGTTATTAGCAGAACTGTCTTATTACCAGGCTTCTCTGACGTTAACACTAATTTTCATAACACTAGTACACAGCTGTCTACAAAGACAGAACATCTTCATACTGAAGAGATACAAGGAGAGTGGTACAGATTTGGAGAAGGTAAAAACTTATTTTGGCTAGAGGGAGCAGGAAGCCTTTGAAAAATAGATATGATTTGGGCTTTACCTGAAAATAGGCAGAAGTTCCATAGACTTCTGGTGGGCAGCACCTAAACTGAGGAAGGCCAGAGAAGAGCTTCTAGAACGGGGAGTAGCTTCAGCAGGTCAGTGGTAGGGAAGCCTAATCAAGCAGTTGAAACTCTACGTTTGACTCATTTGTTCTTTTTAAAATGCAGATAAGAGTTGTTGTAGGTCGGGGTAGCTACAAGGATAGGCAGTCACTAAGTGGTAGTGGAATGGTGCTCTACAGGGCTCCTGTGCCTGAGCGGTTTCTCTTCCTGAACTTGTAATGATGTCTGAAACCTACCCAGAGAGAATTATGGATTTAGTCTGTCAGAATTCCTCAGTAAAATGCAGATACTTTTCTGAGAGCGAAAGCATCTCATCTAGTAAAATAATTGCTATTTAGCTGAGAGCAAGACCCTGCAACAGCAAGGCAGAAACCCAGTAATAAAACTCATCACACTCTCGAATGCACACTTTTGCCTTGTCTTTTTTTTTTTGCAGTACTGGGGCTTGAACTTAGGACCTTCACCTTGAGTCACTCCACCAGCCCAATTTTTTGTAATAGGGTTTGTTCGAGATAGGATCTCTGGAACTATTTGCCTAGGCTGGCTTTGAAACATGATCCTCTTGATTGCTGCCTCCTGAGTAGCTGGGATTATAGGCGTGAGCCACCAGTACCCAGCTAAATTTTTGTTTTTGGTGGTATGAGGTTTGAACTCAGGGCCTCACACTTGGTAGGCAGGTGCTCTTACCGCTTAAGCCACTCCTCCAGCTTGCCTTGTCTTGATTAATATTTAAAACAGCTAGTTACCAGGCAGCTTTGCCTTTAAAACAATTCAGATTTTAACAAGGAAAGTAAGAAATAAACCCATTTTCTGCTTCGGGAGCAGGAAATATTTCTTTTTTCCTCAGTTCTCCCTTCTTTTATCCTGTTATATTAAAGTCCTTTCCTGGTAAATTTTGCTGTTTTACTGCAAAAAAGGAAAGTAATAAAATGAAAATAACCTTAGCAGTGGCTTTTTTTTGGTGGTTTCAGGGTTTGAACTCGGGTTTAAGCTTGCTAGGCAGGCGCTTCTCAGCCTCAGCCACGCTTCTAGCCTTTAGAAGTATCTTTTAATGATTTATTATAAAGAACAAGCAAATTAGGCAAAAGAGACTTTTACCCTATAAGCAAAAATAAAAGAATTGAATCAATTAAAGATAGGTCAAACCAAGCCAAATAAATAAAAACCTTTGTCACTGTATATATTCCAAACATAATTGTTTTTTCATTGACTCTGGATGTATCCACATACAGAAAAAGTTAACATGTTCACTGTCATGTTTGTTTTGCATAATAAATTCCTTTTGTAAAGTTTATAATTTGTATGTTCTTTTGAAAAGAAACATTTGACAAATTTTCATACTGTGTGTAGCTCTCTAGGTTGAAAGAACTGAAAATTAAAAGACAAAAATGAAGTTTCAGGGCTGATATAGTGGAAGTGATAGAGCGCCTGCCTAGCAAGCTTGAGGCCCTGAGTTCAAACCCAAGTGCCACCCAAAAAAAAAAAAAAATGAGGTTTCCATTAGCCATTCCTGGAAACATTACTAATTTCAGAACCTGAGTGTCCAGTTGGGGAATAAAAGTTAGAAAATGCATCAGTCTTTATGGAATTCCATCACTGAGACTTCAGTAATATTAGCAGTACTAAAACCTTTTCTGCCTAGCATTTTCTTTTATAGTGGTATTATGGAAAACACAGTAAATCCAAATTGAAAAGCCACAGGAAAATTTGATTTCTAGGTCTCTTTGCATACAGTGGAATACTTTGGTTATTAATTTTTGAGATCAGTAACTTGGTTAGGAGCAGCTGTGCTATACTTTTTTAGGGTTTATAGGATCTGCTTTTGAGGATATGGTGAAATCTATGATCTCCAAGATACACGTACACATGCTATAATTTTGTTTATTTTATGCATCAAGCTTTGGAGTCTGTCCAGGCATCTATGGCTTAAAGTTGTTTACTGTGTTCCAAAGTGACATTGCATTTCTACTTTGTATTGACTGTGGGTCAGTACAGACAATTAATGTTAGAAGAAAGAAAAGGTGACTGAGAATAAATGTTGTATGGTGGGGAATGTTATCTTTTAACTTGAAAAGTATTTGAGCCAAACACTTCCAAATGTCGAAAGTGTGCGTCTTTTACTTGGAGATTCCACTCAGTGTTTCTCTCTTTCTTGGTGTGTAATGCAGGGTGGTTTTCAGCATGACAGCAGTTTGGGACCTTCATTCACAGCACCTTTCTTTTTTCATGTAAATGTTTGATGCTTCTTCTCACATTTTGCATTTGTAAAATAAGTATTCATTAGTATAGATTGTAGCATGTAATAAAAGTAAGATTACTCCCCTGAACTGAGTTATCAAGTTTATGCCTAGTTTGTTTTAGAAAAATCTGAATTCGGAGTTGATTTTCTATGACATTCTTTAATATCATTAATTAATAATTATAGTGATGGCTTGTTTTTTCTACTCTTGCCCAGTAGATGGTACTGTCAGCCTTATTTTGAAATATTGTATTTTCAGAATTGATCATTAAGAATTTTTTTTTTTTTTAGTTTAAGGTTTCTTTTTCTAAAACATAGTTTTAGATAATTTTACTTCTTTTCCATCTAATTATTGTTTACTACTTTCTTGACCGACATGGCACTTTAGGTGTATTACACACGTTATCTAGGAATTTGTCTCTGGTATATATACATTCCTCAACTACTTCACCTCATTCAGTCTAGAAAATACTTAGTAATTGTAGACCATACGTGTAGAAAATTGTTGAAGGTACTCTTACCTGACAGAAAGAATAATCATTGATAGGTTTTTCTGTGTAAGATTTTTTTTGACTTGGAATCTGAATGTAATTTAATTTGATAAAATAATTCTGTTGGCATGTTGACCAAACAGATTTCTTAGGTAGAGAAATAGATGACTTGCTGAAAGACTATATATTTACAGTGAGAGATCTAAAATGTTTATTGTCCTTTGAACTTTGAGCTTTCTACCTTTTCATTTGTTACAATTGGCAAATCCCTACTATCATTCTGTTTTATGGGAACCGGAAGAAATACAGAAAACTTTTTGGTTCATGAATTCACAAATGGGAGATTAAGCCTGGGTGTTTCAGAGGGAGCACATTGGAAGTGGTTAAGGCTTGTATACACAGTTCAGCCCAGTGGTTGCAGAAATATGCTTTGTTTGAAGCTTGTCATAAGATGAGAGGAAACTTGATGTTAGGAATGGGAATGTCCATGAAATCAAAACACCCTTACTTCTTTTTTTTTTTTTTTACCACCCTTATGTCTTAGTGATAAAATTGGCCTGTAGCTAGACTTGTTCAGCTCTCACAGATTTTTCTCCATTATCTCCCAGTTGTTTTAAAGACAAAAGGTGAAGATAATGCAGAATTTTAAATGGCAGTGAAAGAATGCAGAAAAGTAGGTAGGGGAGGGGGAGTGTCAGGTGGCTCACACATTCTCAGACTGGAATATGAGAAGGACAGACCTAGACTGAACTACGTGAGCTTGGGTGAGATAAGTTGATTCCTGAAAAGAGAGTAATCCTCCTTTTATTTACTTGTATTATTAACTGAACAATCATGTGGAATTAAAAAACACAAGTGTTAGTAAAAAGTGCATCTGAAATGACAGTAGAAGTAAAATACAAGTTCCTGGTGACTTCGTAGGACAGCCCAGCTTTCGTGGTACCGTTGCTTTGCTCTGTTCTCCTTTCCCTAATACCAAAATTAGAAAAATACAAAGGTCTCAATATTGGCAGAAGGCTTATCCAAGATAAGCCTTGAGATTAATTTTGAGCACATGGTTAATTTGCTTGAAGACTACTTCAATAAATAAATAAATAAAATAAATACTGGCCTGTGCGCTTCTGTAAATTCTGTCCCTTTCTTCTCTGTTGTTGCTAGTTTCGGGTTAATGAGTTTGGAGCCCTGGAGGTTATTACAGATGAGAGTGAGATGGAAAGTGTTAAAAAAGCAACCGCTACCACCACTTGGATGGTACCAACTGCTCAAGAAGGTAGGAGTGAATCCATCTGCATTTTGTTTCTTCATATTGAAAGATTTGAAGTAAAAATAGCTTAAGGTTTTATAATAGGCAGGAACTTTGAAAGTCCTGGATGATTTTTTTTGTCTCATGTTCTTAGGTAAATTTCTATAATGAAACTGATAGGAGCCAGCTTTTATATTTTAAAATAACTATAAACTGTCTTCTTTCCTAATGCCAGATCTGTTAATAGCACAAGGTTAGTTGGAAATTATCAAGTAAATCCAAGTTGTAATCACCTACCCAGTTGACTTAGCCAAAAGCCTGCCACTTTTTTCTTATCTACTCCGATGGTTGTAACTAACACCTATATGCTGATGACTCCTAAATCTATCTCCAGCCCCGACCTCTCCCCCGAGCTCCAGGCCCGTATTTCCACCTGCCTACTGGACATCTCCACCTGGATGTCCCACAGGTACCTCAAACTCCACATGTCTGAAATGCAGTTCATTTTCTATTTCTTTCTCCCCCCCACCCAACCTGCTCTTTCTTCTGTGACCCATATTTCAGTTGATGGTAGCACCATCCACCCAGTGGACAAGCAAGAAATACAGGAGTCATCCTGAATTTGTTCTTCCCATCCCCACATCCTGTTCCTAAATGCACTTGGTTTTTATTTCCTAAATATGTCTCAGATCTGGCCTTTTCTATTGTCACTGCTACTGCCTTAATTTAGGCCCTTACCAACTCTTACCTGAACTATTGCAGATGTCTCTTAAATAATCACTTTATTTCTAACTTCAACCCCTTCCAACTTACCTTGCACCCTAAAGTCAGAGGAACTTATGTAGACTGCTTATCTGACACTTTGCTGGTTTCTCTTTGCCTCTTCAGCAAAATACTCAAAGGTCTGGGTGACCTGCACCCACCTGCTTGCTTTGTCTCTTTACTCTATCCCCTTCTTTGTGTGTTGTGTCCCGGCAGTGCCAGCAGCACGGAATTATGTGTGATTTTCCCAACTCATCTTGTGGTCTCATCCTTCCTTGCTTTTGCTCATGCTATTTTTTTTTTTTCATGGCTCAAATGCCATTTCTCTCTTTGTCCATTTCTCTTTGGCCACCAAAACCCTGTTGAAGTTTTGTATCAAAAAATCCTTCCCTGACCTCACCCACGCTGAATGAATCACTTCTTTCTCTGCACAACTTCGGAAACTTGTCCGTGTTTCTATTTTTGCATGCGTTACCTTTTATTATAAATACTGGTTTTCTTGCCTGTCTTCTCTTCTAGACTGTGAGCTGTCTTGGGCAAGGTCTGTACTGTCATTACCAGTGTCTGGCGTAAATTGGTGCCTAATAAATGTTTGCTGAATGAATGATTAGTCTAGTAATTCAGGCAAATATGTGAGTTTCTAAATGTTTTGTATAATTACAATTCAGGAAATCTGCATTAAATTAGAGATGTTGATTTAGTCAGTTAAGTCAGAATCACTTATCAAAAGGTTATAAACGTGAAATAACATACATTTTCCTCTTCTGCTCCCCCCTTTTATTGAGACAGGATTGTGCTATGTCACTTAAACTCAGGATCTTCCTGTCTCAGTCCTGGGTTATGGGATAACAGGTGTGAACCACCATACCCAGGTTAGATGACACTTTCAGTTTTGTCAAAGATTTATGTATAGATTAAAAGTCTATGGATCAATAGTTTCATCTTCTGAATTTAGTAACTAATGAACTTTCTTCATTTTACTTTGACTCTGTAGAAAAGCCTTGTACAAGCTTTAACTCATACTTTCTGTAGATTTTTTTTGGTTATAGAAATGACTTGAGTGATTTCCTGCCACGCCCATTCTCTCTCCCTCTCAGTTTTTATAGATTAATAATTCATTCATTCAACAAACATTATTCTTTATGTGTAGCTAACAAAGCTATTAGAAAAGAAAGTTTAAATGTATTTCAGAATGCCTTCTGACATGGTTTTAATGCTTGTCTTTCTTCATGTTTAGTCTTTTCAGAGAAGACTGGGGTGCCATTCAGGTTGAAGGATCCAATGAAAGTAGATGGGCTTCAATTCTGTGAGAACTGTTGTCAGTATGGCAATGTAGATGAGTGTCTTTCTGGAGGAAACTATTGCAGCCAGAATTGTGCCCGCCATGTCAAAGACAAGTAGGTTTTTGCCCTGTTCCATCTATAAAATGAGTTTTAGAGTCTAAGATCATGGTATCTTAGGATAAGAGGATTAAATATATCTGATGTCTGTTGTCCACTCTGTTTTTCAGACTTTCCCTTGTAGAGACATATAGGCTTTGGCCCCTTCTTTGGACCTGGTGACTTCTGTCATGCCCGGTCTGAGTTGTGCTGCTAATGTTCTGTGCATAATTCAAGCTCTGCCACTGTTTTCATCCTTATGTTTACATGTATTTGATTGCTCCCCAGCTAAGAGTATTTAGATGTTTCTGGTCTATGTGCACATTTTGATGATACTGATACTTATGGCAAGATTTTGGGAGATCTTAGGTAACTCAGTTAAAACTCCATATGTGATCAGCGGTTAGCTGAACGGAAATGGCTGTGGTGGATGTTGTAGTGAGTCATGCTCGGAGGATCTCATGCAGCAGATTGAGGACATCTGTTGTGATGGCAGTGGTATGCAACCTTCTCATTTGGGGACTATCTGACAAGTGTCCCCCTTACCAGCGAGAAGGTGTAACTCTTGGATATAACTGCATACTACAATTAAATGATCCAACATTCGTATTTTAGTAGAGTTTTCCCTATATTTTAATCATCACAACATTGGGAATTGTCTGCTTTTGTTGGCCAGCTGATGCTTTACGAAGTTGTAAAGTTGGCTTTTTCTACTGGATTTGCCATTCTTAAAATTGCTAGATTCTTGCTTTAGAGTTTCCCTGAAGACAAGTATCTCTAAATAATTGATTCTTTTTATTAGTATGGATGGTAGATATGGCAGACAAATAGTTAAAAACTTGCTAAAACTTATTTCACATATATTACTGGCCCCCTTTTGAAATGAACATATAAGGTAGTTCATACTTTCTGCCTTGACATATATTCTTTGTAACAGAGGTTTAAGTTTATTTCCTGTATAGAATATTCTAATGCCTGTGACTTTTTCCTGGTTATTAAATATTGTTCCTTTAGAGAGTGACTTTTTAAAAATAATTTTTGCATCGATAATCAACATGTAGATGTTTGATAGGTATTGTTTCCTGTCACTGTTTTGGGGTTGTAAACACAACAGAGATCAGAAAGAAGAAAGGGACATAGGAGAAGACAATGAGGAAGAGGATCCTAAGTGTAGCCGGAAGAAAAAACCAAAATTATCTATGAAGGCCGACCCCAAGGAGGATGGAGAAGAGAGAGAAGATGAAATGGTTAGTACTGCTTACGTACCCACCTGGAAGCTCAGGAATGCTTCTTGAGTGGGTAGCATCGTGGTGCAAGCTCTGATCTGCAGTCAGTTGCATGAGTTCAGATGCTGGTTCTAGGACTGTTTCTGTCAGCTGTGCCTTGCTGTCCTCATCTCATAATGGGAATAATACATGATAACACCCTTCCCTTAGCATAAAGAAGTGAGGAGATGTTCTGGAATTTACTACTAGGCTAAGAGGCAACAGCAAAATTTTCAGTTTTGTAGATGAAGCTTAAATTCCTCTCACCAGCAAAATCTCAATTCCAGTTTAGTAAATTGCAGACTGATCTCATAAAACTATGTAAATGGGTGGAAAATGAGTACATTTGAGGAAAGATCATTCAAAATGTGCTAATTAAGAAATAAAGATCTTCTCCCTAAAGTTTGTGATAATAGTTCTCTATGGATAGAGAACTTTGAGGTCTTGAAGCATTTCACTTAAGATCAATATTGAACAATTGTTATTTGCTAGTCTCTATTCTATGAGCTGGGAATATCAAGGGAATAAAACAGGTACAGAGGATGGTCTGTCCTCATAGAGATATGTTGTTCTAGCTAAGGGGACACATAAACAAAATCAGCTGGAGAAATGTTAGCTTATTTTAAGTGATATGTTGAGAATTAAAATAGGATACTATATTGGCTGGCTACTCTGAATTGGATTTTCAGGGAGGCTTTCCAAAATCAAGTGACACAAACACTTATCTGAATAACAAGGAGGCACCAGCCCTTTCCAAAGGAGCCCTCTGGACATCAGAACTTTTGGAGAGAGTCATAAGAACATGTGAAGCATGTTCTGTTGGGGAAAATACACAAAAGACAATATGGTAGAGCACTGAGTGTTGGGGAGAGTGGAGTGAGAAGAAGTTGAAGAGGTTTATGTGGTCCAGGTCAGGCAGGGCTTTATGATAAATCAGAGTCATGGTTTTCATTATTTTCTGAGTATAATAGGAAATAACTGGAAGCTTTTGATATATGTGAGAAAGTATTAAATCAGAAACCATTTGGAAGTTCCTTTTAATAAACTAAGAATGTCATGTATAATAGAAGTCAGTGGATTTGAGATTGATCTTGGAGGTAGCAATGTCATGGTGTATGAAGGAAAGAGAGAAATCATGGATTCTAAAAATCTTAAGATTTTTTGGATGAACAAAAGCCTGGAATGGAAAGGACAGGATAGAACAGAGTCAGGAGTCTTTGGGGTCTTTTGAGTTTCAGATAGCTCTTACCCACCTTTTGAAATTAATACAGAAGATAATTTCTACTTTCTACCTAACAGATATCCTATGTAAATATTCTTCTCCACATACAGTATTCTAATGCCTGTGAATTTCTCCTGGTGATTAAATGTAGATGTTGATTATCAAACCCAGCTGAAAATGCTAAATAGGTAGTTGGATACAAACCTATGGAATCAGAGACAGGGAGCTGGAGATGGAGGTTGGGAGTATTTGGCATAGAAATGACCTTTAAAAGTCAAGGACTAAATAAAGAAGGGAAGGGATTAGATTGGCAGCGAAGATATATCAGTAGAGGGGCCTGAGAAAGGGCCCAGTGGGGTCTGAGGAAAACCAGAAGAGTGATCGTGAAGCTCAGAGCTAAGAAGCTAACAGCTAAGAAGCTAGCAGAAACTGTTTTGAGTAGGAGGGAGCAGGGTCCATGTTCTTCCAGGGTGTAGTTCTAGGAAACTCTCTTTTCTAATGACCTCAGGCCAAAAGCAACACAGTTCTCAAATGAACTGTATTCTTACTTTCTTTACAAAGTGAAATTGAAGAAAAGGAACACAACAAAAAAAGCTTCCTGACAGCCCCTAACTTTTCATTGTTGGCAATTTCATGAACTTTTAAAGCTCTCATTTTCCTTTCTCACTGTAGGAGAACAAACAAGACGTAAGAATCCTGAGAGGTTCTCAGAGAGCCCGGAGGAAAAGACGAGGGGATTCAGCTGTCCTAAAGCAGGGTGAGCTATTGAAAGAAAAATTGTACTTGCAACTTGGTGAAATAGAAGTTTTAGCCTTTGTTGTTCTGCACACTGTCACAGTTCAAGTGTTGTTTTGAGTTTTTCTTAGATTCAGTTTTATTAATAAAAACGAAGTCTTTGAGAAAGTAGCTAAGGAAAGAAATGGATTCAGGGTAAGTATAGGTACACCTTCTGTTCATTTGTTTATCCATTGGGTAGGTGGTTCCTGCTTTTAAACCTTTTACCAGAACATCTGTTCTTACTCATTTCCCAAGATAGTAGGTTTTTCATGTTTTCTCTCAGACTACAACCTCCTGACATGGTACATTTTGGTTTTTTTTTTGCATTGTTCCTCAGGCAGCATTTTATTCTCATGAGGAATCCAGCTTTACGATCTTTCCCTTTAATTTTTGCTGGATGAACTCATCTGTTACTTATAAGATGTGGACCTTGGGTCATTTCCACAGAGTCCTCTGTGTCTTCCACTCTGCTTTACACCCATGACCTGCCGCATCTGCCCTGCCAGGCCTTGGTTTAGGTCACTCTGCATTGCACCGTCCTGCTTCTGACTTGTGCAGTCACACACTCCCTGCAAGTCAGGTCAACTAACCAAGGGCTCCTGCTAGTACCTGGAGACATTCTTCGATCTGTTAATCCTTCAAAAAGTGGTGGGAATATTTCCATGTGGCCCAAGCACACAACATAACTTTTTTGTCTTTTCAGAAATATCTTGTTTTCTATCACTGAGATTATAAGGAGTCTGAGTTAGTCTATGTCAGAGTGTTGTATTTTTCCCCAACCATTCTCCCCTTTCCCTTTAATGTCTACATGAAATTCCAGACCTCTGGTCTTCCAGAACCTTGTTCCTCCACTCATTATTTTTTCCCTTAACTGTTCAGTATTTTTCCTCTTTGTGGACTGACTTTTGCCTTTTCCTATGCATCCCTCAGGTACTTTCCCCAAACCTTGCTACCAATTAAGCTGTTGTTTTCCTTCCCTCATTCCTAGTGTTTTGTCAAACTAATCCAAAATAACTGATAATTACTACCTCTTTTTTTTTAAGACAGTGTCTCAAAATCATTTGAGAGCCTCCTAAGTGCTGGAATTACAGTTGTGTGCCGCCACCCCTAACTTGCCTCCCTATTTTTTATCACTTATGTATTATTTTTGCTCCTAAAACTTGGGCTCTTTCTACACTGATTTTTTTTTTTTCCTCTACCTTTCCACGATTAGCAGTCGTTCCATAAGCACTTAGCATGTTGGCCTTTTCTCAGTCCTCAATTTCTTATGTCTTAGGAGAACTTTTTTGAACATCTTGCTTTTGCAAGCTGTCATTTCCTATAGCTTCCATGCCACTGTTTTAGCTTGGCTTTCTGCTAGCCTTTTTCATTTATTCTAACTGTGGATCCCACAGTTCACTTCTGAGCTCTAGTTTCTTTGGAAGAGGAGCCAGGAAAAGAGACACCAGCTATAGAAGTAGGAGAAGAGCCAGGCATAGTAGTAGCTGGGAAAGTGAGAGCTCACATAATAATACATCATTGATTTCCTAGATTTGTAAATCCCGTCGTTCAGTCTTACTTGCCTTTCAGGTTTGCCTTCTAAAGGCAAGAAAGCTTGGTGCTGGGCATCCTACCTGGAGGAGGAGAAAGCTGTGGCAGTGCCCACGAAACTGTTCAAGGAGGTATGGACCCTTCCCAAAGCACTGTGTGAAAGGATGAAGAAGTGGGGAACTGTTCTCAATTAGTATGCCACTTCCAGACTGCTTAAGAAATGTGACTTGGGATAATTTTTCAAACTTCTGCCTTACGTGTGTGTATTGCATAGGAGGGTACCTCTGTAGGCAGTTATCATTAACGCACACACACCTTACCTAGGCAGCACATGTGGGCACATGCATGCACACACACGCATGATATTTTCTCTTAACATCTACTGGGCTTTCACTCATTATTTTGGGCAGGAATACTAATACTTTTACTGAAAGTTAACAGAAAAAGAGAAACCAGCATGAAGTTTCATGTCAACATCATAGTCTTGAGAGAATAGAAATGAGTTACTAAGATTTACTTTCTTTAGCGATAATACATGTAAAATAGGTTACTATATTGTATTAGTGATAATAGAAATATTTTATCATAAGTAATTTAATATCAGGCATAGTTCTGAGTAGGAGCTGATGCCCCTGAACTAATCAGGGCTCAGTAAACTCTTCCTGTAAAGGACTAGTAAATATTTTAGGCTTTTCAGGGCATCTGGTATCTTTCACAACAGTGCAACTTGCTTTTGTAGCATGACTAAATATGTAAATGAGTGGGAGTAGCTGTATTCCAATAAAACTTTATTTACAGGCTATAGTTTGCCAACCCTTGGTTTAAGTTATTTAGTTATATTTCATCATGATGCATAATAAAGCTGCATGGGAATCTTTTTATGTATAAATGAATATAAGGTGTTTTTTAAAAGTAGTGAATAATTTTGTTTGAATGGATATGTCTGCACTGAGAATATTTAACATAGAATAGTAATTACATAGGAACTTAGTCTAGATAATTATTTTCTATCACTTTGGTCCTTTACAGAACAGACTTGTTCACATTTTTTTAAAAACTGAAAATGCTGCTAATTACTTGAATCAGTAATACATTCATTTGATTCAAAATGTAAAAGGACTAAAAGGACTAATAGTATATGTCCTTCATATCCCTGCCACCCTAAGTGCCTGCTTTGCCTCTCGCCACGTGACCACTGTTACCAGTTCCTGTAGTTCCTTCCTAGCCAATTCTATGTAATATAAGCAAGCTTCACATACAAATCCTCCCCTCTCTCTCTGAACCTGTGGCAACATATGACCCATGCTTTCTTAACTCGACAATTTGGAGATTAGTCCCTTTCAGTTTATCAATCTCTTCATCATTTTCATATCAATGCATGTATTCTTATGTCTGTTCCATAAATATTTAAGTTGCTCTATTGATTGACACATACACATATATTTTCAAATCTTTTGCTATAGGCTCTAGTGAGTAACTCGCCATTTTGCATTATGTGTGAGTTTCTCTGTTGGGTAATTTCCAGTTGCTGAGTCAAAGAGGATGTTCAGTTTTTTATGGGTACTATGAAATTGGTGGTGATCAGACCAGTTTTCATTCCTACTAGTGATGCATGCACATAAGTTTTCTCAAAACCTTATAGTATCATCAATCCTTTCGACCTTTACCAGATAGGTGAAATATATTTTAGTGTAATTTCACTTTGTGTTGCTATAAATATTAAATATACAGAAGACCAAGACTGTAAATCACTAGAATTCCTTTCTATGACTTGTTTATAGCCTTTGTCTATTTTCATTGGATTAGTCATTGATCCTTTTGGAGTTTTAGTGGTAATTTTTATATTTGGTTAAGGAGTCTTAAGACTCTTGTCACATTTTTCGCCAGGCCTCTGGGTCAATACTGATACTACTGTCATTTTATATTGTAGCACCAGTCCTTTCCATATAACAAAAATGGATTCAAGGTTGGCATGAAGTTAGAAGGCGTGGACCCAGAGCATCAGTCCGTGTACTGTGTCCTCACTGTGGCTGAGGTAAGCTCTACCTGATCTTTATTTTTAGAATGAAGTGGTGATCACAGGGTTTAAATAATGGGAAAAACTGCCTTTGGTTGAGCACTTACTTCGTGCAAGGTATGGTGCTTAGTGTTCCATGTATGTTATCTCACCTGACGTTTCTATCCTGTGCTGGTCATGACTTTTTCATCTCTGTTCTATAGACGAGGGAGTTAAGTAAGGCTCAGCAAGGTGAAGTGATACATACAAGGCCACATGACTTCAGGACAGTAGAACTAGCATTTGAACCCAGGTCTATCTAACTTGATAGACTTTGCCATATTAAAAAGGAACAAATAGACCAACAGATGATTTTTTTTTTTTCCTCCTGTGCTAGCCTACCTTGTTTCTTCCCTTGATCCATGGTTCACAGCTTTTAAAAATTCCCTCTAAAGGAGTAAGATGGTCTTGGGTACTAGTTGTAGTTATTATAGTGTTCCTTCAGAGATTCTGAATTTGTGAGAAACTTGGCTCCTGCAGAACACATAGCCTATGACAGCTCAATGCTGGTGATTACTGTGACCTGAAGCACACTGCATGCCAGGTGCTAGTGAAGTGTCTTCCATCTCTTAATTCATGTTAGTATTCAAAGCAGTAGACTTTTGAGATAGAGGCCATTCCCCCATCGTTTTTTTTTTTTTTTTGGTGGTACTAGGGTTTGAACTCAGGGCCTTGTGCTTGCTAGGCAGGTGCTCTACCACTTTGTGACATGCTTCCAGTCCTTTTTGCTCTAGTTATTTTTCAGATAAGGTCTCTTTTATACCCAGGCCCTTCTAGACCATGATCATTCTATTTATGTAGCTAGGGTGACAAGTGCATGCCACTGTGCCCAGCTTTTTTATTGGTTGAGATGGTATCTCACAAGACAGCACTCCTCCCCTCCCCACCCTTTTGCCCCCCAGCCTGGATTACTATCCTCCTGATCTCCACCTCTCAAATAACTAGGATTACAAATGTGAGCCACCACAACTTTCAGATGGGAACACCCAAGGCACTGAGAGCTAAAGTAACTTGTAGCTTGTATTAATGTAATACTTAGCGAATGAGAAAAGCTGGATTCTTTTACTCATATTAGAAAGCCAGTGTGGGACCATTTTGCAGAATGAGTAATGGAAGTAATGGGACTGCCAGGTATAGGAGGAGGAAGACAGTTGGAAAAGGCTGTTGTTAAGAATGGGAGAGGGAGTTAGTCTGGCGGGAGCCTTCCTGTGCGGCAGGGGGAGCCCAGCATTCATGGACAGTTGATTCTCATGAGTTTATTCTTGCTATTAGAGATAGTTATGTTCCACATATGAGTGCATTGGGAGCCACTGCTCCTAGGGAAAATACAGAGTTAGGTTCCTGTGAGTCTGAAGTCACAATCTTTTTGTGAACTGATCAATACATACCCTGGCTTTCTGTGTGTTTCTTTTTGATGAGTCCTTATTTAGTATATGTTTCACAAGTAGGCAGAGTCACAAAGATGGAATGTGTGAATAGCAAATATTGACTGTCATTTTTTCTTTACCAGTACTATTCATAAGATTGCATACAAGGTGCATATTTAGGATATGGAATTTTGCTAGACAAATGGTTTGGGGAAGGACATCATGGGAAAAACTTTAAAAAATTTGGCAAGAAAATGTTTTTAAGAGATTGCCATTGAAGGGCACGGGGGCTGCTGGGAAAAAATGGATCAATATGAGATTTTAGAGTTTTCACTGAGATTGAAGAAGACATATTTCAGGAGTATCTGGGTTAGCAAACTGGGAGAATAGCAGCTGTCTTCCCAGGGTTGACCTTTTTAATGTAGGGCTTGAGAGGCAGAACAGTTCTTGATGGGGACCAGGTCCATGGGAACAAGGGTCTGAGATGAAGAGAAAATGAAGGGTGCAGAGAAACCTGGGTTCTGGATGAGTCATCCATATGGATAAGGAGAGTCCTTAGGATGGGGAAGAAGAATAATCTGGGACTAAGTGTCTGGTAAGTGAGGGGATGCTTGGGAGGGCAGCACTCAGGATGACAAGGGTCGTACGGCTCAATGATACAAGCCTTGGAGGAGCACAGTGGAGGAGCCACAGGTGTGGCTTGAGATCGTGGCCCTCTCCTTCAAGTCTGTGGGATGGAGAGTTGGAAGAATTGACTTGAGGGATGAGCTAGGTGAGTCCCTGGGCAAGATGGTTGAGGAGGTGGGAAATTGTTTGCCAAAGACATAGCATTCCAGACAGCAAGAGGTGTGTTAGAGAGACCCTGGGAGAACATAGGAAGGTGATGAAGGAGCAGAAACTCAAAGCTATAAGTGAGTAAGAGGCTCCTAGGCATGGACCAAGACAGCAGTGTACAGGGCAGGGTAGAGAAGCAGTCCCTGAGCTCTGCTGGCCATGGAGTGGATGTAGGGTTGGGGACAGCTCTTCCCCTTCCTGAGAGATTGAACTTCCCAGTGCCAGATCTAGAGAGACTCCAGTTTCCCAGGAAAGAATCAGCTTGGGTGTAAATTTTATATATGTAATATACTGATACATTCTAACTGAAAAGCTACTAATGTATAAAATAATATATGAAAAGATCATTGTTCCCTTTTTGTCCCTCTCTTTTCACTCCCACTTCCCAGGACAAATCTTGGTCAATATATTGGCAAATAGTCTTCAAGACATTCAGTTTACATATATATGCATATATAAATATATATAAATATGTTTATATTTTTATGTGTCTGTACCTCAACATATATACTTAAGTATACACATGGACTTCCATATACATAATTTTCTCAACTGACTTGTCCCTTATAATTTGTTCTGCCACTTCAATTTTAACAGTATGTTTTAGAGGTATATCTGTGACAGTAACTGTTCAGTTCCCTCATTATTTTGGGTTTAATTTTGCTGGCTCTGCGCTCTTTATCTCAAGCTTTTTGTGCAGGGTTCTGCAGAGCAGGTGTTCCTGGAGTGGGTAGAGGTCTTGTGGCAGGTCCACTGGGAACACATCTGCTTGTGCCAGTGGGAAGAGCCCGAAGATGCTGAATCTTGTCTTTAGGAGCCCAAGACAGACCATGACCCAACTCAAGTTCCATAAACCCACAGTGTCCCCAAGTGGGGCCCTGCAGACAGATGTACAGCATTTGTTACACAAGAGTGAGTCCTTATTAGTATTCTGGGAAATCTGTCTCACCTAAGTATGAACTCAAAACCGCTTTTATTTCTCCCATCACCGCCGCTGGGGAGAGCAGAACCAGGTGGCTTCTGTGTCTGCATAGCCTTGATACACAGCATTCAGTATAGGGTATAGCCTTCACTCTAGGTCTTGCAGGAGCTGGGTGCCATTTGCTGGTCTGGCTGTGTCCTTAGCGGCTCACTATGGTGACTTCTGCTCCTACAGCTGGGGAATGGAGAGAACAATTGTTCTTCACCCATATCCACATGCTCCTGAAGTAACTAGGGGTGTTGCTAGAAGACCACAGCTTACCTCTTTACAGTATTGCCTTTAAATTGTGTGAATTGTTTACTTCTTTGTGTTGCTGTTGACGAGTGTGGTCTGCTGAACATAGGCAGTGCCATACCCGTTATCTATATTAATTTATTTTTGCATATGTACACAGATATCAAAAATACTATGTTTTCTTTTAGTTACTCAACCTGCTTCCCTATTCAGGTCTGTGGATACCGGATAAAGCTTCACTTTGATGGATATCCTGATTGTTATGACTTCTGGGTAAATGCAGATGCTATGGATCTTCACCCCGTTGGATGGTGTGAGAAAACTGGCCATAAACTCCATCCTCCAAAAGGTTTTGTTGCTTTTTGTCTCATATTTTAAATTCAGAAAGAACTCATTTCCTTAGATGTTAATTTGGAATTTTTAAGAATTCAGGCTTTCTGCTAATTCAGTTAGGCCCAAATTCAAGCCTATTATTCTTGATGAAAAATAAGTTTATTAAAGTGAGAGAAATTGGCTGGGAGTGTGGCACAAGTGGTAGAATGCTTGCCCAGCAACCAAAAGTCCTGAGTTCAAACTCTGGTGCCACCAAAACAAAACAAAAAAAAAAAGTGAAAGAAATAAAAGTAGAATCCAATATAAGAGAATATATCGATATCCTTATTTGCATATAAAATAACACCTGCATGATAATGATACTTAACTCTGTCTATAAATATCCTAATAGGAAATTGGAAAGAAAAATCTAGTACTAAATATAGGCTTAAGTTGGAGTTGAACTAGTAGCAATTAATTACTTATGATTGAGTTCTTTTTTGCTGTGCTGGGATTTGAACCCAAGGTCTCGAGCATGTTGGGCAAGTGCTCTACCACTAACTTACTCCTCATCCCAATTGAGTTCTTATATTACAGTCTGCCAATGATTTTGTCTATTTTGTGTTTATATAAAATTCCAAGAAAAACATATCTTTTTCAGTCCATCCCCTATGTAGTTAATAAGATCATATTTGCTTCTTTTCAGCTATTACATTCTGTTATTATTTACTTAATGTTGAAAATTCAAGTTACTAATTTGGCCTATCTTGTTTTTTTTCATGGTGGTTGGGATGGAACCCGGGGACCTACCTGCACATGCTCTGCAAGCACCCTACCACTGAACTATACCCCAGTCCCAAGGGCAGTGTTTTTAATAGACTAATCATTTCTTGGATTTTAGTAAAATATTAATGATTGAATGGTATCCTCAAATAACAAAAGGGTTAAAAGGATTAAACAAAACCACCTAGAAATAAGACATTAAGAGAAAATCTTGAAAGCTTTTAGTTTTATAAATTAACCTCTATGTATGGTGAATTATTAGCTGGTCTTTTCTTCCTGCTTTCTGGACTTTAATGAAAATGAAAGAGCACATTAGCAGATAAAGTAAAAAAATGCTCAGTTTCCACTTTTAAGAAAATGTTGACTATAATGAAATTGTGAAAATTGGGGCAATATTATTTCTCTTACTATAATTTGCTAGTCTTCCTATATAAACTTTGCATTGCCATTTTTGTGGTGATAGGCTAAAAAGGTTTTTACCTGCTTTTCTTACAGTTTTTTTCCAACTTCCCACTTGATCCAAAGTGGGATAAGAGAGGTAAAAATAAAGAACTTGATTCCTCCAGCTCACTAGTCCATACTGGTGAGGAATCCTAACTAAATACCCATGGCAACAGCCTGGTGATGAAAAGTGCATCTGGGTATAAGTGTTTGCTTTCATATTTCTTTCCTTTATATCTTTAGAATTGAAAAAAATTAATAAAATTTGTTTGAAAATAAACATATTCTGTCTAAAAATGCATAGTTAAGAATTCTGAGTTAAATTTTGTTTATTGAAGAAATCATTTGATTGCTTGGTTTGGGCAGGCTGGTATTACAGATAAAAGTGGGCCTGGAAAACTAAGTGTAAAAAATTTTGATATTTTACAGAGTTTGTTCATATATGCTTTTGCTCTAGGATATAAAGAAGAAGAATTTAATTGGCAGACCTATCTTAAGACATGCAAAGCCCAAGCTGCTCCTAAGTCATTATTTGAAAATCAGAATATAGTAAGTACATTACTTTCAAAGGAAGTGGTTTTTGAGTGTCTCATAGGACAAATTACAAGTGACAACAAGGAACTATGATACTTTTTATTGCCTTGGTAAATAGACTTCTCATATCGTAATTAAACTTTAAAATTACTTTGCAGTCTTTATGAGTAAATATCTATCTTGCAGTCATATTGTAGTTGTCGTTATTGGATGGTAGAGGACAACATAGTACAAAATCCAGTATGGGGAGCAGATTATGAGAAGCCTATGAGAACAGGCTGAGTTTGGCATGTCCCCAGCTGCAGAAGGGATGAAGGCAAAATGCAGCACAGCTGCTTTTCCTAAGTTGCATATGCTCAGAGAAGTAGGAACGCAGGTTTCTTTTGTTACAATATCACGCCTCTCCCTGAGAACTGTTGCTCCACCTCCTTGTTTACCACTAGGTATAAAAGACCCCCTAAAGGAGAACACGGGTTTTTTGATGGGATTTTGATTGGGTGCTTGTGGGCTGCTTGTGAAGCTGCTGCTGCTGCTGCCGCTGCTCCCCTGCTGCCCTGCTGCTGCTGCTGAGTTAAGCTAGAGATTAGAGGAAACATGGGACAGTCAAATCTGAGCACCAAGACATCAAGAAAGCTAAAGAGAGAACATGGGACAGTGCAAGTCTGAGGGCCAGGACTTTGAGAGAGATTAAAGAAATCATGGGATAGAGCGAGTGTAAGAAAAGAGACTTTAAAGAATCTCGAGAAAAGAAGTACTGTTTTAAAGAAAGACTTTAGAAGTAAGGCCTTAAAAAATAAGAGAAAAGAAGCAAAACAAAAGAAAAGTTAATAGAGAAAAGAAGTAATGAGGCTGTTGTGTGTCTCCATCCCAGTGCCCAGCACACCTGGCCCCAACTTTATGCGTGTCTGTCCTTTCTGAGTCTCCCATTGCTCCCAGTTAGGTCAGTAGGACCAGGAGCATGGGAAAGTGCTCTACAATCCAGGTGTAATTTGCAATTACGATGCATAAAAGTTAAGTTGATTGAGATATTTTATTGTTACCATCATTGAATTAGGTGTGTTGTTCGCATGGGATTCACACAGTGAGATGAGCACAGCCCTGGATGAGCTTATAGGCAGAAGGTCACTGGACACTGATATACCTTTCCTCCAAGTTGTAGCTTTGCTTACTGTGCAGCAGAAACGAAGACTGGACGTGTGTGTTTTCTGCTTCTTGACCTGTAGTTCTGCTTTCCATTTCATGTTTTGTTGGCATCTCTGAGAGGACTGATAAATTATGCTCTCTCTTGCACAAGTCCTGATCAGATTAGAACAGGGGAAAACAAGTGGAAGACTAAAATGCCGTCTTTACAACAGATAAGGATGAGGTTGGAAGACATACAGGACCTCTCGCTGCAGGAAAATGAGCTTATTGATTCTGAGCCCTAGAATCCAAGGGATTTATTGTCCATACCCCACGACCAGGGAGCATTGGACCTTCAAGGAGCAGAGTAGAAGCCATGCACCCTGAAGCTCAGCTTCCCCTTGAGAATATAAGCAGTTCCTCCTTTCCAAGTTCACCCGTCAGGTAACAGTAAGGGAACAGAGGAACAGTAATATCACTAGCAGGGTGCCCTACAAATGGAAGTAAATAGCACGAATGGGGACAATCCTTCCATTTGGGGAAATAATATCAACCAGTTGGTTTGAGGACATAAATCTAATGGATGCAATGTTCTCTGATTAAATTAAACGTAAACCAAGTTGAATTACAAATCTGAAGAAGTGTGAATGCGTGTTTAGGAAACTGATAAAGATAATGAGCCAGGTTATTATTTTATAGTATCTTAATAGGAAGGATAGCTTAATTGCTTAAATGCCTTGTCAGTAGGTGTTCTCTACAAGACTTGCCCCAAGAAGAAGGTCAGGTAGAAACCCAGCAGCCTGCTGTTGCTGCTCCTAGTTTCCTAATCCTTGTCAGGTTCTCGGATGACAACCAGGGACTGGTTAGTTGCCTGAAACTGTCCTCTTGTATTCTGTGCACAGCTAGCATACAACTTAATCTTAGGGTGTGTTTTGGTAGATGAGAGGCAGTTTTCTTATTTCTAGATTCTCTACCTTAGAATAGTCAAATATTTATGGCCAAAACTGGTTAAAATGGTGGTAATTTTTCTGTGTATTGTTTGTTTGCTCCTTTGATTCACACTGAATTTCTAATATTTGCAGATATATGACTATCTACATTTTTGCAGTGATAGCTGTGTCATTACAATAAAATGAAAGATAACATTTGTTTAACATAGAATATACCCATATACTTCAGACTGAATGAAAGGGATTTTTTAGAAGGGGAGAGATAACTTATAGTGTGTTGTGAGTGACACAATTGATAACTGAGTACCCTACTCTGAGATTAGGATATTTTTCCCCACAAAAGAGTGTAAGGGATATTTAGGTATTATTGGCTCTCAAGCAGTAACTCTTAACGAACTTCAGTTTCAAGTCCGACATGGTTGGTAATCTGTGGATTCCCTTTAAGTATCAACTCTTTTGAAAGGCAATACATATTAACAGCCAGTTCCTCTGCTGCTGCTGTAGATAAAAAGTATCTGTAGTGTTAAGTAAAAGATGTAATAATTTGCAGTATATGAAGATGACCTACTTTCTGTGGAATACTCTTGAGAAAACTGCTCAGAAGTGGGAGTGAATTTGTACTGACTCATGAACATTTTTAACTTGATTAAGTGCATATTTTGTGTGAAATTACTTTCATTGTTAAGTCTGTAATCAAGGAAAAGAAAGCCAAAATGTGAGCTCTGTGGTGAATAAAATTTGCCTACCTATTGTCTTCTAACCAAGGTACCAAAACATGTTAAAATGAATTATTTTCAACCTCTGCCACCCTGTGAATGTTTTAGTTTGAGGCTCAGATAGTTAATTGGGTGTCGTCACAGAGCTTTTTAAAAAAAATTTTTTTTTTATTGCTGCTTGTTGGAAAGAGACCCTGCTGTGAAATTGACACAGGATTTTTAGATTATGTGAATAGAGAGACGGATGCCTTGCCTTGGAGCAGGGGGTGCAGAGTGTGCCGAGCTTGCTGTTAAGTGTGTGCTTATCTCTAATTAAATCTGCATGTTTCCATAGACAGTGATCCCATCAGGCTTTCGAGTTGGAATGAAGCTTGAGGCTGTAGACAAAAAGAATCCTGCATTCATCTGTGTTGCTACGGTAACAGACATGGTGGACAATCGTTTCCTGGTACATTTTGACAACTGGGATGAGAGCTATGACTATTGGTGAGACAGTTTCTATTAATGTGTGCCTTTTTTTTAAAAAATTTAATCTTTATCCAGGTAAACTAGATACACAGTTAAAATCAGTAACAATGCAAAGCTTGTAACAAAAAAATAACAGCGCTCTGCCCATTCTTTTCTGCTTCAGAATTTTAAGTATTTGCCTGTTCCATATTATATGTATTTTTAAATGACATCTTTGAATGCTACTTTGTGATTTGTATCATAGTTGACTTCCCACCATGGAATGGAAATTTACACATCCAACACATTCCCAGTGCATCCTCTCATGCATGTGCACTCAGACTCACACGTTCCCCCTCACTTTGAGTGCATTTTACCATTTTTTTAGGAATTTTATTTTAGTCTCTCATATTTTCATACCCAGTAGCAAACTTAACCATTCTTGATATCTGAGTACAAGTGTATAAGCTGACAAATACTGTTTTTTAATTCACATCATTTTTAAGTATACTGCCCAAAGTAGTAAGAGGTACAGCTCAAGTGATAGAATACCTCCTTAGCAAGTGGGAGGTCCAAACCTAAGTCAAACCCCAGTATTGAAAAAAAAAAGCAACATGCTATAAAATTATATAATAAACCCATCAGGGTTTTTTATTTCTTTTTCAGAGCTGGGGATTGAACTCAGAACCTTGCCCATGCTGGGCAAGTGCTCGTTCACTGGGCTATAACCCTACCTCAAACCATCAAAGTTTGATTAAATAGTTGAACTAAGGATTGTTCATACCTGACTCAGGTTCATTGATTACTAAAATTCAGTTTCTGGGTGAAAGGCATTTCTGAAGTATTTGGGTCCATCCAGAGAACATGTGAAGTGACAGTATTTTAGAGAAGTGACAGATGTGTTTGTAAAATGTGGCTAATGTATCAAGTGATACTAATTTATGAAATATAGTTAAATTTCTAGGAAACTCATTTCTTGACCCTATGTTTTAGTGTGTATATATTTCAATATTCAACAGACCCATTAGTAATTCCTGTTACTCTTCAAACTAAATTCTTAGATACTTGTCAGTCTTACTTGCACTGTTTTAAAAGGTGGAAACAGTGAATTGAAATTCATTTGGTATTCAGGTTTTTTAAATGCTTTCTATCATATGTATACCTTTTATGGATTTTTGTTAAATGTAGACAAGTTGTTTCATGATTGCGTTACACAGAGTTAAGTCCTTTAGAATATTTCTGTTGTTTTCCCCATCTTTTTTCTTCACAGCATAATTTTCCCTCACAGAATGTCTTTGTATTCAATTTGTAATAAAATTTTTTATTGCAGTATAGGAATATACAAAAATAATGATGAAGTTACCCTGTGAAGCCTACACTCAGCATCAGTTTGCATCTAGTATTTTCTCTGTATGCTACTCCTAAAATTTCAACCCTAAGACTGTTTTGAAGCCAATTCCAGATAACATCTCATTTCATGTGTGACTAGTGTGTACCTCCTAAAAATGAGAATTATTTTTCCTTTTTAAAGTTTAGCTGTATTATCACTAACAACCTTAAAACATTTTTCTCGGTTGTGTTAGTGGTTGGACTTTTTTAAAAAAAAAGATCTTAGATCCAAATAAGGTATACATTTTGTGATTGCTTTGATGTTGTTCTTGATCTCTTTTAATTTCTAGAACCCAGTTCCTCTGTTTTTAATTTTCAGCATTTATTGAAGAAACCAGGTTGGTTGTCCTGCCAAGTTGCTCACAGACTGGGTTGGCCGATTGAATTCCCATTATATCTTATTCTTTTGTTTCCTTTATTTCCTGTAAACTGGTGTTTTTTCTTAGATTTAAAATAGGAGTAGGTGAATGGAAGACTTTAAATTTAGAAATAGTCTGATATATCCTAGGGCAGACATGTTCCTTTCCTCCTGGGTTTGGGTTGTGATGATGGCAGTAACCAGTGTGATGACCTGGGTTTAGTCTTATTAGTAATAAATTATATGAAATCAGTTACTGGAATGTGTTGAAATGAAAGTGGCTTTTTTTTTTAATTGGTTGGGTTTTTGTTTTTTGGGTTTTTTTGCAATGCTGGGGACGAAATCCAAGGTCTCAGACATACTAGGCAAGTGCTTTACCACTGATTTACATTTTGTTTTTAAAGTTCTGATTCCTTTGGTGTGGATTTTCTTTTAAAGCTTTTGTGTAATTTTTAAAAATGTGTGACTATTGGTTTATTTTTATGGTCTTGTAAATATTACAGTGTTTTAAAGGCATAAATGGCTTTAAAGTTAGTTGTATTTTTGCCTTTTAAAATATTCTTTTGAAAAAAAATGAGGAAGTGTGAAAGAATTTGACACACTCATTTCTCTTTGATGTCAAATGCTTAAAAAAGATCCTGGGTTCTTTCTGAGAAAGAGCAAAGAAAAAACTTGATCTCTCATAACTGATTTTGTATTTTTAGGAGCACAGATTAATATCATATTTTGAAAGGAGTGTACCTTGAGAATTATACTTGTTACTGATATGAAATCCTATTTTGTTAATTCTCAGAAAAAGAATACAGTGTGTTCTTTTCCTCAGATGCAATTAAAGCACATTGAAAATTGCTAAACTGCTCTAGAATTTCTCCAGTTTTATTAAACATTATGTTCTTTGTTCTTCGTATTTTGATATGGGTTTTATCTGCATAAGTTACTTATGTGTGTAATTAAGGTTACAGATTAGCTTGCCTTTCTCCATTTAAAATAGTTTTGAAATGAGATTTTTAAAAACTTGAACTAAATAGTGACTATTGCTTTTTACATTCATAGAGATTGGAAAACATGTATCTGTCTGTGTATATTTGTGGTACTTCATGTTTAATTGCACTAAAGCATTCCTCCTAAAGAGGAAATGATAAAAATGTATGTAGGATTGAAGAAGTAGGTTTGTTATTTGTTTGGGGTTTTTTTTTTTTTTGGTTTTTGGTGGTGCTCTGGGTTGAGTCCAGGGCCTTGTGCATTGAACCACACCTCAAACTTTTTGTTTGTTTGTTTGGTTTTTTTTGACACAGGGTCTCACTAATTTTGCCCAGGCTGGCATCAAACTCAAGATCCTCCTGCCTCCACCTTCCACATAGCTGGAATTATAGCCATGTTCCACCATGCCCAGCTAGAAGTATTTTTTTTAATTAAAGGAAAATAGTAGAATAAAAATTTATTTCCCTCTGTGTTTCTTTTGAGCTAGTTGATAGTTGCTTAATTTTATTCCTCTGACAGTCATTAGACCTAAGGAAAAAATCCTAAGTATTACAGAATATTGGAACTAGAAAGGATCTTTGAAGATCCAGTAAGGAAAGAGAGGACCTGAGGGTACTGCATTCCGCCTTCCCACTGCACACACAGCCTTTTTCTCTTGTATTTTTCTGTTGCAGGGGACTGGGCTCTGGGGAAACACATAATGAGAACAGTCCCCCCCCTTTGCCCTCCAACAGCACTGGAGTTTGAACTCTGGGCCTCATGCTTGCTAGGCTTGGTAGGTATGCACTTTACCACTTGAGCCACTCCACCAGCAGAATCTTCCTTTTGAGAGACATTACTTTCATGTGACCTCATCTTTGGGGATCCAGGAAATCATAACAATGTGATGTAGTCACTTGCTCAGTGCAAAGACCCAAATGAGTGAACTTGCAGCTTCAAGCAGCTTTGGTTCCATTTCAGTTTGGTGTTTAGTGAGTAAGGGCAAAGACCAGCAATGAGCTGATCTGTGAAAAAGAAAAGTCTAGAGTTAGTAATTTAGACAAACCTCAGGCAGATCTTTGCCTTATTGTCTTTAAGTGCACTGCAGACTGTTTTCGTAAATGGATCTCTTTTGTATAGTTATAAATTGAGAGTAATAGTAGTTGTGTCTCCTTAAAGTAAGAGGAAAATAGCTGGGCCAGCCTATAATCCTAGCTACTTGGGAGACTGAGATCTGGAGGATCTTGGTTCAAAGGCATTCACAGCATATACTTCCCAAGACCCCATCTCCAAAATAACTAGAGCAAAATGGACTGGAGGCATGGCTCAAGTGATAGAGTGCCTGCTTTGTAAGTGCAAAGCCCTGAGTTCAAATCCCAGAACATACTGAGGTGTTTGCAGCGAAGTTATTAACTTAGATCGGTGTTAAGGTTAAGTTGGGTTTAATTGGGGAAGCACTGGGTATCTAAGCAGGTTTAGCTTTAGCCTTGAGGGCCTGTGATCTGGGGTAGGAAACAAACACAAATGGCTGGGTGGTAGTTTATGCTTAGTGCTTAATTATTAGAAGGAACCACTTGCTGTCTGCTGTGGTGCACGGAGTAAAGGATTGGTTCAACCTCAGTGGAGGGTTCACGGGGGAGGCTTGGGGGAGGCATGAATTTGAGTTAGTCCATGAAGGAAGAAAGGCATTGGTACATAGGTGTTAGGATAGTGTTCCTGGCCAAGGGAAGCACTGGCTTGTGTTTTGATCCAGGGGTAGCATGAGTATGTGGAACTCTTCTGGGCTTTAGTTGCCCTATTTCTAGAAGGGACTAATAGTAATGATCCCAGCCTGTCATGTGTTGTGAGTATTAAAATAAAAGTTTGAGCAGTAGAAACTTGAAGAGATGGTTCTAAGAGTCATCAAGTAGAGAAGTTTGGTGCAGAAGGAAGAGAAGAGGACTGTTTCTTGAAGCAGAATGTACTTCCCAGGAGGGTTTCTTGCAGGTAGAGTGTTTTGAGCTTGGTTTTTAAGCAGGAGGAAGGTCTCAGATCACTGCAAAGGGTGGGGAGGAGTGGAAATATCTGAGATTGGATTATTGATGGCACCAATAATCTTGCATCTTTTTCAGCTTGGAGAAAAGGAAGAAATAGAAAGTTTGGCCCCAGGGTAGTGAGATGTCATACCTTCATCTTTTTCAAGTGGCTACGTTAGAGATTATAAACTTGAAGCAAATTAAACAGTTACTGTGGACTTGATCTTGAGTTAGGGATGGCAAGGAGAACCAGGTGGCTCAGCTTGATGAGGTTTGAGATTTGAGGTTAGTAGTAAAGCAGAGAGTAATTGAAGCCCTAAAGAGTTCATATAATGGGAGTTGTGAGAATCCTGTACAGAGTCATGCTGTGGGGTGAGGGAGTGGAAGAGGCCAAATATCCTGTATTTCTTCATGAACCTCAACCATTATTGCTTGAAGTGAAGAGACTGACATTTTCCTTATGTAAGCTCAGTGCAGTGTTCTTACTTGACTCTGCCTAGATCTGTGGGGCCCTGCATGTGTGCGTTAGTTTTGTTTAGCTTTTGGCTGTGATTGACAAAACTGGGATCTCTTCAACCCCGAGTGCTTGGTGCAAACACTTAACCTCTTAGTATTTCCATAAAATGATCTTCATGTCTGCTCACTTTATAATGTATATCATAACCATGGTTTTTCATGAATTGTTTACTTGGTTTATGACCCTTTCAAAATCTACCAGTCTTGGTCTGATTGAATCTTTGCAGGCTTCATGAAGAACAATTTGCACTTGCACTGCGTTGCAAAAGAAAATAATCCCTGCACTTTCTGTCTTTATGGCAGCCAGATTCACTTGGAGAATATATCAATAGGAAAAGGAAAAACAGAAGAATAATTTGCAATGGACTTTTGTGATATACACAAACACATGAAATATGAAAATAGGTACAGCGATCAGTGGTTTGCTAAATTTTCACCATTTGTTGTTCATAGTTATATTTCTTTTTGGTTACATTTCTGCCTTTGAACACTAGATGGGACTAGGGGATGACTTGTTTTACAGTGGCAACAGAATGGAGTTCCTAGCCTTCCAACTTGTGAATGAAGTGTTTACTACAGGGTATAAATAAACTAGATAAAAAGGGCTGTTTTTTCTTTGTTGGGATGGCTTCCTTGTTTATTTTAAATGGCAACTTTGATAAATGTTTAGATATTACTAAAACCTTATGTAAGATTCAGGTACTACAGGAATGAGTGTCTATAGTATCCCGGAGTGTTTTCCTTAATTGCAATTTATAGAGAAATCCAATGAAATCAAAAAGAGTAATAGTTAATGTTCTTGTGTTCAAATAATTACCATGAGTCTGGCAGATGATTATAAAAACTACCCTATAGTTTTATTAATTGAGAGGGAAAAATTAAACAAGTATCATGATTTTTTTGAGCATTTTTTATTCTTTGTTTTGGTCTTTTTTTTTTTTTTTTTGAGACAGGGTCTTGCTCTGCAGCTCAGGCTGACCTGGAACTCACTATGTAACCCAGACTGTCCTCAAACTCTTGATCCTCCTGCCTCAGCTTATTGAATGCTGGGAATATGGGCATGCACCATCGTGCCTAGCTATTTTTTCATTCTTAATGAAACCATATCTGAACCTTCCCTAAGAGAAAGACAATGCATTAATGAATAATAAATCATGACCAAAATGATTACTTAAGAAAAGATTCTGGTAGCTAAAAATAGACCACCATCATCCTGTCTATCCAAGTTAGAATGATACATTTTACAAATTGTGTAATAAAACATCTTATGAAAATTTAATTGCAAGAAATGTAGTGATTGTCATATGAACTTGGCATTTCCCTAGCTGTGCCTGTTTTCTTTTCATATTCCCCAAACAATGACATACATCTCTGTAACTGAATATGTAGTTTGGAGGAGGGAGGGCATGGGATAACGAGTAAATACAGGAGGAATTTCCTACTGAAGTAAAAACCAACATTAAATAGTGATCACATCAACTTACTAGTGTTACTATACTGGGGTATGCTCTTGGAAAGTTTGATTGGGAAGGTGGTGACAATATGCTAATCTCATTCACTTAGGACATGCATTAGAAAGTTCGTTTTTCAGTACTCATTAGACTTTCATTCACTAGAAATGCCAACCACATTTATTGCCCTACCTTTCTACTTTTCATCACATCTGGATGAGTCCGTTGAGCAAGTGCTCAACAGAGGCAAGCTAAAGTAGGGAAAGTTCAGGACTCATAGAAAAAAAAAGTACATCTTGGATTATCCATGCTTTGACTCAGGAACCTCCCTCACCTGGCCAGGAACCACCCATGCTCTCCCCACTCATTGATTATTGAATGAGAATCACCTGGTTCTCCCCCTCCCATAGGTTTTTGAAGCACCTGAAGAGCAGAAACATGCTCTCTTGGCTTCTGGCTTCCACCTGGGCCCCACCATGCTTTCCTTTGTATTTCCCTTCCCTAACTTTTAATAAACTCCCTTTATACCCACATGTGCTGCCATGGATTCTTTCTGGTGGGATACAAAGAATTTGGAAGTCTTCTGATCAGAGACTGTACCAGTACCGTTAACGCTACCACTTGAGTCATGCCCTTTGCCCTTTTATTTTGTGCTTTTGTTTCTGAGACAGGGTCTTGCTGACTTTGCCTGGACTGGCCTCAAACTCATGATCCTACTACCCCTGCCTCCCAAGTAGCTGGTATTATAGGCATGAGCTACCATGCCTGGCTTCTATGCACTCTTAAAACAACTCTGGTCAGGTTTTTGCCCTTTTGCACCCCAGCTCCACCCTTACAGCTCTTGTCAGGGATACTGATCACATTTACATTTGACAAAGCCAGTGATAACTTCTTGTTTCTTCCCTTTGATCTGTCAGCAGCCTTTAACTCAGTTGATTTCATTCTTACTCTTTCCTTTCTCTTATTTGTAGTCATCCTACTTGGACTTTGTCTTCTGCTCTACTCAGCTGTATTGATTCAGCTCTGCCCATGGTATTAAATGCCATCCCAAATGCCGACAACTCCCAAATTTGTATTTTGGGCCTTCATTTTGCACTCAGTGTTCAGACTTTTATGCTTATTACCTACTTAAAATCTTTTCCTGTTTGTCAAACATGTCAGTAACAGGTATCTTCATTTACCACTTGGTGTGCTAGAGCCTGTGCTTGCAGTCTTCCTCTTCCTTCCCAGAAAATGGCAACCACATTCTTGCTGCCCATGCTGGAGCCTTGTGATGTCTTGACTTCTTCTGTTCACTCATACCCTATGTTAAGAGTGTCAGTAAATCCTTTTGGATCTACCTTTAGAATACATATCTAAACCATGATCACTTATTATTGTTACTACCACCCCTATGGTCCAGGCCACCAGGATCAATTCGCAGTATACTTCTAAATAAATATCTCTCCATTTGCTCCCAATATGGCTTACTGTCTCCTAGCAGTCAGAATAATTACTTTAAAACATAATTCAGATGAAGCTACTTCTCTGCCTAAAACCCTCCACAGTATTGTTCTGCTTCATGCCAAGTAAAATCTCAGACGTTATTCTGGCCTAAAGGTCTTTCCTTCCTTTATGATATCATGTCCTCTTGTCTTTGGCTTTCCCAATCTGTTTCTTCCATTCCTGACACAGTTTTGCAAGGTTCCCCTTCACACCTTTTGTACTTGCTGTATCCTCTGCCTAAAATTGTTTTCCTTCATATATTTGAGTAGCTCAGTTCTTTCTTTAGATCTTTCACTTCTTTATACAAATGGTGCTTTATTTGACAAACTGTCTTTTTTTTTTTTTTTGATGTTATTGGGGTTTGAACTTAGGGCTTCATGCTTGTAGGCAGGTACTCTACCACTTAAGCCATGCCTCCAGCTCAAGATGCTGTCTCTTTTTTAAAAGACAGGATCACCTTATGCAGGCTGGACTGGCCTGGAACTCAGTCCTTCTGCCTCAACCTCCAGAGTGCCTCCATACTTGGTGAAAGGCTGTCTTGAGTAGGCTATAGAAAGGAGCACATTTGCACTCATATGATCTGCTCCTTTGCTTCATTTCTTTTGTCTGCATATCATCTTATCACCAAAGTACATGTATAATTAGCCCTTGGTATCCGTCAGTTCCCCATTAGCAGATATAACCAAGCATGGATCAGAAACATAGTTAGGTCTATAATGGTTGCATCCATACTGAACATGTACAGACTTTCAAAACACTTATCCCCATTAACAGTGTGGTATAGCAACTATACAGTGTTGACATTATGCTAGATACTATAAGTAATCTAGAGATGGTTTATTATACACGGAAGGGTGTCCATAGAGGTTTATGCAAATGATACTCCTTTTATATAAGGGAGCATCCTCTAATTTTGGTATCTACAGGGATTCTGGACCCAGTCCCCTGAAGATACAGACGGACAGTTGCATTCTATTTTTTTCCTCTCCCTGCTGTGCAGGAAGTGCCATGAAAGCAGGAACTTTGTATCTGCTTTATTTGCTGCAGTTACCCAGGGTCTGTCCCAGTGCCTGGTATATCATTGTCACTCAGTATTTGAATGAGTTAGTGTTGTAAAGAAGAACACATAGAACAAGTATGGTTAAGAACAAGGAATCAGAGCACTCACTAGATTTGCATTTTGCTAGAAAGGCTCTGGTAAAACATATGCTTGGCTGTAATAAAGGTGACAGAGAGAAGGAGGGGTAAGGAAAAGAAGCACCTTGTTTTAATACCTGGTCTCTGCCATTCTGATGAGTGATAGAAATAGTGGGTTGATTTTTGAGAGTGACTGAGCTTCCTGCTTTTGCACATGTGCCCTTAGAGATGCTGAAGTAATTTTAGCTTGCCTGTGTATGCAGTCCAACTTTATTTTTCCACATGATGTTTATGAATGGAAATTCTGAATTTTAATGTTGCTATACTATACTCTTGGTATAGTTAAAGTTTCAGAATATAACAAAATTTGCAAGAGAAAGAAAATTGCATGGTGTCAAATCTGTGCGACATTCATCTAATGAAAATTTACTGTTGGTGTATGTATTGGAAGAGTTGAGAGATTCTTTGGTTTACCAACTTTTTTCAAATTAGATTGTAATAAACAAAACTCTGTAATGTGTTCATGACCTGTAATTAATCTTTTTTTTAAAACTTTTACTAGTATTTGTGAGTTTAACTGTTAATTACAGACTTCTTAACTTATCTGACCTACAGGTGTGAAGCATCTAGTCCACATATTCATCCAGTTGGTTGGTGTAAAGAACATAGACGAACCCTTGTTACTCCACCAGGTTTGTGTTTATTGTGTGTCAAATATTATTCATGTACTTCCAAGAGTCAGCAAATGTTTTCTGTAAAGAATCAGATAGTAAATTCTTTAAATTTTGTGTATCACCACTGCTCAACTCAATTGTGCAAAAGCAGCCGTAGGTAACGTGAACAAACGAATGTGGTTGTGTAACACTTTATTTACAAAAGTTTGCAGCTGGCTGCAGATGGTAGTTTACTGACTCCTGATGTATCTTCAAGTGTGTTGAGCATTGCCTTTCTTTATATCAGAGCCTCAAATTTTGTCTTCTTTGGAAAAGCAAATTCTGTCTTAAAAGACTTTATATTTTTCAACTTGAGATTCATTTCTAGATTACTTGTATTAGGATAGAATTAAAGATAATGTCGAATCACATGCATGCATCGTTAAGCGTGGACAAGTACATAAAATGGATATGGGGTCATGGCATTGTGAATGAGGTGTGGACTGTGTATGTCAGGCTCACTTCTGACAGAAAGAAGCAAGATGCTCACATTCAAGTGAGAACTTGAGGCTTTACATTTTTTACTTAGAGTTCATGCATTCATTTTTGTTGTGATTCCTGGTTCCAAAACAGGTTTTTTAGCTTATGCTAGTGATATCACTCTGTTCTCTGAAGTTTTCCTTTGCTTCTGCTCTGCCTATGGCCATAGAGCATTCTCAACTTACTCGCTTCTTCCTTCACAGGGAACCGTGTAACTGCTGATAAATGGTGTCCTTGTTGTATGTCATTTTGACTTTATTTTGGTGTGCTAAAGAACAGATTCTGCATTGTCATCATAATCAAGACTGTGTTTTTGAGTCTGTTACTGTTGAAGGTGTTGTGTGTGTTATGGTCCCCAGTGTTAGAAAAGGCAGAGTCATCAGTTCACACAAAGCCTTACTCCTCAGGAGGTGGTTGTTCAGTGGCCACATTTTTGAGTAAAGCAGGCCTACATCACAGGGAAAGGGTGAGTCCTTGACTTCCCAGTAGCTGTTTTGTGGATGGAGCACACAGCATGTAGAGCAAAGGCTCAGCTTGTAGCTTTAGATGCTAGTTTCATTCCATTCAACAGCTAGTTTCATTTTAAGGTTTGTCACCAATTCCTCACTCTGATCATTTACTCACTTGGGGGCAAGTACTCCAAAGTTTCCTAGCACATTAAAGGGAGGAAAGGAAAGCCTGTGACCTGACTAATGTGAAGACCTGTTTTGAACATGAAAGAGACATATGCCACAGAATGTTAAAAACAAGTTATTAATGGTTCAATGGCCCAAATGTGGTGCAACTGGGAGAGTTCTGTGTTCAGTGCCCACTCCCCACCCATGTCCTGTGACTTACAAAATATAAGAGGCTGGTAATTGCATAGTGATTCTTTGTCACTGTCACCATCCTAAACTATTGTGATGGTTCTTGGATTTCCCTGTTTGATAGCAATCCTTTTTCCCACACTATTGTTTTTGGTGGTAATCAAAGGCCTGGTAAGTGAATAACAGGTTCCTAGTGATGTCCCTGGAAAGGGATGTTGTAAGTCATTATTACTGACTTCTACTGAGGTTAAAAGAAGTGACCTGTCTCCTTTTGTAGACTTTTGTAATTTAGTAAAAATACTGCTTTTTGGCAAGTTTAAAAAAATACAAATTGCATGTGAAAAGTTGCCAAATATATAACAATGTGATTTTTTTTTTTGGCTGTACTGGGGTTTGAACTCAGGGCCTCACACTTGCTGGGCAGGCACTATACCTTGTGATGGGTATTTTTATTTTTTATGTATTTTACCACAATTTAGAAATGTAAAAATAACAATAACATCAAAAATTATCTCGCCAAATTATGAGATTCATTTACTGTGGATGTTTTACTGTTAGTTGTTGCTCCTTAAAAAAAAAAAAAAAAGCAACCCATGTTCCTTTTTCTCTAAGTACACCTTCCTGGCTCATCTTACCTCCCATTTAAAAATATGAACCTAACACCTGGTTTCCTTGGACAGCTGTTTGTTCTTCACCACCTTTGCAATGTTGTGGACTCTTCATCCAAACATATTCATGTTTTCTCTAAACATGCCTGTCTTTATTCTTTTTCTGAAATTAAAATCTTCACCTTTTATTTTTCTTTTGAAGTTTCCAAAATATACATTAATACATGCTTGATTTTTAGTTGAGAGTGAAAATAGAAATAACACAGTTGTCTCTTCAGTTTGTCACTAGCTTTTCCTCCTGTATGTATACACACTTGCATACATATACGTCATTTTCACTTAGTGGAGAGTTCTGATTAAAATTGCTTAAATTTTGCAAGATATGTCCCTTAAAAATGTTGCATATTCAAACATTTTTTTGAGACAACTTCAAATGTAGAAAAGTTTGAAGAACAGTACAAACCCTTACTTGACTTTAGGGATTCATTCAGGTTTGTCAGTCGTCCCAAACATGTTATTGATAGCAAAGGGATCAGGCACTGAACTCGACTACAGACCCCTCTACTCTTTCTCAAATTGGCCATTTTCAACTTTTATGATCTTGTTATGTTTGAGAATTTCAGATTAGCCATTTTGTAAACTGTTACTTACTTTGAGTATGATCAGAACCAGGGTATGTATTTTTAGCAGGAAGATCCCTGAAACAGTGCTGTGTTCTCAATTGCATCTCCTCAGGTGGTACATTTCAGTCTGTCTTTTTAACATTAGTAGATCAAGGTATTTGCCAAGTTTCCTCACTAATGCAGTTACTTTCTTCTCTGTAAATAATAGGTGTTTTCCAGAGAAATACTTTGAGATTATGTGAGCTATCCCATAGCTCATCTCAGTGTCATTCACTAGTTTAGCGTCCGTTGATGTTACTAGTTCAAACTAGTTTAAACTAATTAAAATAGTTAGTTTGCACCAATTGTTGTTCTAATGGTTGATAAATAATTTCCTTATTCCATCACTGTTTGTCTGTAATTAAATGATATTTTCTACAAAGAATAGATTTCTGATTTTCCCATTTATTCATTCAGTTATTTTATTTCAGTGTGGACCTACAGAGCACTGTTTTGATCAGTGAGTAACATTTATTTTCATGTCAGGTTTTGTAAAAATTTTAGCAAGCAGGAGCTTCTTTAAGCTGATTGCTGTGTCCTTTTGACTTCTTTTTCTCATCTTTAGAGAACTTCCTGCTCTCTGACAGAGCTAGGCTTGCCATTTGCTCATCTTGATACAACCCTATGATCAGCCACTTCTCTGTGGATCCATGGTTCCTTTTAGTAGAGAATGATACTTAGAGACTAAGATGTGATTACTGAGTGATCAGTAGGAACATTTCTTTTTTTTATTTTTTCAGTTTCTTTTTTTTTTTTTTATTATTCATATGTGCATACAAGGCTTGGTTCATTTCTTCCCCCTGCCCCCACCCCCTCCCTTACCACCCACTCCACCCCCTCCCTCTACCCCACCAAAACCCAGCAGAAACTATTTTGCCCTTATCTCTAATTTTGTTGTAGAGAGAGTATAAGCAATAATAGGAAGGAACAAGGGTTTTTGCTGGTTGAGATAAGGATAGCTATACAGGGCATTGACTCACATTGATTTCCTGTGCGTGGGTGTTACCTTCTAGGTTAATTCTTTTTGATCTAACCTTTTCTCTAGTACCTGTTCCCCTTTTCCTATTGGCCTCAGTTGCTTTAAGGTATCTGCTTTAGTTTCTCTGCGTTAAGGGCAACAAATGCTAGCTAGTTTTTTAGGTGTCTTACCTATCCTCACCCCTTCCTTGTGTGCTCTCGCTTTTATCATGTGCTCATAGTCCAATCCCCTTGTTGTGTTTGCCCTTGATCTAATGTCCACATATGAGGGAGAACATATGATTTTTGGTCTTTTGGGCCAGGCTAACCTCACTCAGAATGATGTTCTCCAATTCCATCCATTTACCAGCGAATGATAACATTTCGTTCTTCTTCATGACTGCATAAAATTCCATTGTGTATAGATACCACATTTTCTTAATCCATTCGTCAGTGCTGGGGCATCTTGGCTGTTTCCATAACTTGGCTATTGTGAATAGTGCCGCAGTAAACATGGATGTGCAGGTGCCTCTGGAGTAACAGTCTTTTGGGTATATCCCCAAGAGTGGTATTGCTGGATCAAATGATAGATCGATGTCTAGCTTTTTAAGTAGCCTCCAAATTTCCACATTTCTTGCTATTGGGGCATTGCTGCTTCCAGGCCTCTCAGTGGAAATAGGAAATGTGTATGTGTGACACACACAAACATATGCACACAAAAATGTTATACATACATATATATAAATACAAGAAATTATATTTATTTCTCTTATCTGTATCTGTGCATTAAAACCATGAATTTGTACCATTAGCTCTGATTCAGATCCAGTACCATTGGCTTCATTCTAGTTTCCCTCTGACCATATTTACACCTCTCTCTTCATTCAGGGAGCAACATGACTTCCATTATTTCTAATATATTTGCATATTTTCTGAGTCCCCTTTTATATAGCAAATTTCCTACCCTGCCCCGGACCACCATTAATGCCTGCTCATGCCTACCTAATGGATTTTGGACTCTAGAGGAAGCAGAAGGCTGTGGGAAAGAAGAAATGATAGTTATTTTCACACATTCTATTAATGTTATTCATGGTTTGGATCTGTTTCTTTGTTCAGCCTAACAATATGAGGAGATACTTGGAATATTTTACTTATTAGTATGTATAAGTCTCTGTATTCTTTTTAACAAATACTTTTTATTTCATTAAAAATAATAAATCATGATCAAGATGAGAACAAAAGCATTATTACAAGTAGTTGTGAATGTGTGGCCAGTTTCAAGCTGTTATGTAGAATGTTAGTTCCTAGATTGTAATGGTAACAGTGTTTCATAATTTTTGTAAGACAGTTTGCTATTCTGAGTATCATTTTCATAGGATCTCATAGGGCTTTTATTTTTCTTTGTTTCTTAGGTTATTCAACTGTGAAACATTTTTCTTGGGATAAATACTTAGAAGAAACCAATTCTTTACCTGCTCCTGCAAGAGCTTTCAAAGTGGTGAGTTAATGCATTTTATACTATTTGACTAATTTGTGTTGATGATATAATTTATTCATTGAGTTTTAAGAACAGAAAAAAGATGGTACTGTAAATCTGAATAAGAATGAGAAGGAAAAAGAGGCCGAATAAGATTTTTTAAACTGGTATTTTTGTTATTGGCAAATAAAATACTTTCATTTTAGACTTTAAAGACTTCTTGGAAAAAATGCTTCTTGAGAATCTGTGGGATAAGTTGTCAAAATTCTAGAGCAAATTTCTGTTTTTCCAGCTAGATAATCTGAAAGAACAAAATCAGAGAGAAAACTGTTTTCAAACAAAAATTTGTAATTCTTTTATATTTGTTTATGGCAAGCTGAGATGCTGTTTTTGATTTTACTGTTATAAATCAGTTTAATTCCTAAAATGTAATCTGCTTTTAGTATAGTATCTCTCTAAACGCAGGGTCATTGTGTCTTGCATATAACTTAGAAAGATTCAAAGTAAACCTCATTTCTGTGCAAATGAAGAATAAGGAATTAAATGTATTTTTTATTTTTTCATCTCAAATTACAATAAAATTCTGTGACAGTGATTCTCTTCATGTAATGTGATTTTGTTCTTCAAATTCTTGATGTTGTATTTTTGAGCCCAAAATTACTAATTCTATCATTAAAACCCAAGCAGTTTACAAATAGAAGTATATAACTTAAAGTATATAATTTTATATTTATCATTTTATGATTTATATTTTAAAGAAAACAGGTATATTAGATATTTTTTAAAGCTGGACGTGGTATAATATCTGTAATTCCAGTATTGTGGAGGCTGAGGCAGGAGGATCATGAGTTCACTGCCAGCCTGTGCTGCATAGCGAGATCCTGTCTCAAAAATAAAATTAAGCCAGGCACCGGTGGCTAATGCCTAAAATCCTAGCTACTCAGGAGGATCTCGGTTAGAAGCCATCCCATGCAAATAGTTCATGAGGCCCTATCTTGAAAAAACTCATCACCAAAAAAGACTACTGGAGCAGATCAAAGTGTTGATCCTGAGTTCAAGCCCCAGTACTGCAAAAAAAAAAAAAAAAAAAAAATTGAAAAAAATAAAAATAATAGTAATTATAAAAACATGACATATTCGACTTATGATAAACAATACTTTCTTCAAATGATACTTTCATGTTCAAATTGCTAGAGCTTTTAATAATAGAATCAATTAGTAGGAGGTTCAAATATACATTCAAAGAACATCAGGAATTTTTAAGAGCAAAAGCATATTACATGAAGAGAAACTCTTCATGAAGAATTTCTATGATAGTAAACCGAGGACTTAAGAGAAGAATATTTATTAATTTTTTTTATCTGCTTTGAGTCTAATGCTGTGCAGAGCTCCACTGAACCTTGCTTTTAGCTGGATAAATTTGTAGTAGGATCAGCCTACATGTCTAGTGTCACCAGAGGAAAAACTAAGATTTCTCTAGTTGTACCTTTTAGGTGTTTGCATTGTTTTCTATCCTTTACATAACACTGACACTTAATTTTTAGATCCACACTTTTATTGCACCCATTTTCCAGAAGAGGGACTGGAAGCTTAGAAAATATAAGTAATTTGCCTAACACCATACCAAGCAATCACCTTGCCTTCTGCTGCCTGTAACTTACTCAGAGGTTGACTTATTTCTGCAGAGTATTGTGATGTCTTGTCCTATGAGAGCTGTTCACCTTGTTTGTTTTGGTGCTCATTTTCTTTTTCTAAGTTTTCTTCTGCTTTTTTGCCTTCATTGCCAATGCTAATCTTGGTGTCTTGTCTCAGCCACTTTAATGTTCTTCATAAAAATGAATTTCATGCTTATTGATTTTTGCTACAATACCTTTAACCAATAAGAAAAAGTTCATCCCTGTGGCTAATCAAATAACTGCAGTGTCTTTATGTCAGCTTTTTTATTAGTTCCCTTAAGTATGTGTTGAGATTTTTTTTTGTGTGTGTGATAGGAAGGTACATGGCATCCAGAGCCAGTCTGGTAACTTGAGAGTTTGAAATGCTGGTTGCCCTAAATAGCTCATCTGTTTCTTACTGTTCTTTGTAACATACAGACCACCTGTTCTTCCTCTAAATGTCACTGTATAACATATTTCTGTTATGGCAGAAACCTCCTCATGGATTCCAGAAAAAAATGAAACTTGAGGTTGTAGATAAGAGAAACCCTGTGTTTATTAGAGTAGCAACTGTGGCAGACACGGATGATCACCGGATAAAGGTGAGTGTTGTCTATTGTCTGTTGTGGCTTGGCTTTGGCTTTTGTTACAAGATGTCCCTTGGAAACGTCAGTAGAATTTAACTTGACCCCTGTGATTAAATACTCAAATATACAAAGTGCCTATAACTCAGCATTCATCCACATTTTTCCTTAAATCTTTCTAAGATGTTTTCTCTTTAATCATGAGTGAAAACTTAATGCTCTGAGTATGTATTTGGAGATACAATACATTAAGGTAAGAGCTATTTGGAGTGAAATGTAATACTTCATTCTTCGATAGCATGCTCTTTTTTAAAAAAATTAAGAATTTTTCAGAAGAGTTTCCTGTGTTTGTGTGTGTGTGTGTGTGTGTGTGTGTGTGTGTGTGTGTGTGTTTCTGGGGTTATAACTCCAGGCTTTGTGCTTGTTAGCCAGACACTCTGCTTCTTGAGCCACACCTCCAGCCCTGTCTTTTACTATAGTACAAGTAAAGATAGTTTTATAAATAAAAGTAGATCTTTATTAGAATTGGATTAATGAAATTCAAATACCTCTCGTAAAGTAAGCAAGCATGTAGGAAGATGGTTTCAGTTGGTCATGTCCAAGTGTGATACACACAAGTGTAGGGAAAGAGGAGTCCCCAGGTTTCATCGGTTTCTGGCTTCAGTACTCACTTCCCTCACAATCTAGAACAACACTTGTCCTATTGACTTCCTAGGATTGTTTAAAATTTCCATTAGGAATAATAATAGTTATAATAACAGCAAGGCATTGCTGTTCTTGGCATTTTGAAAGGTTAGCAATGTTCTCACATCACCTGACATTTGTAATAATTGCAGTGTGGTATATGTTTGTTTTCATTGCTGTTTTGTTGATGAGGCAGAGACTCAGAAAGATTAAATGAACTACTCTTCATTTCTGGCAGTGGCAGAGCCAAGTCTTAGCTGTAGGACTCTTAGTGTATGCTCCTTTAAAAACAAATTCTCAGCTATCTCTAATGGATGGTGTATAAAGAATAAACTTTACAATCACTCGAAAAACTGTTCAAATGTGGTGGTGCACACCTGTAATCCTGGTACATGGAAGGTGAGTCAGGGGGATCAGGAAGTCGAGGCCCCAGCTACATATCAAGACCCAGCCTCAAAAAAAATGATCAAATTATGTGATATTTGGAACTGGAGGTGTGGCTTAAGTGGTAGAGCACCTGCTTTGCAAGCATGAAGCCTTGAGTTTAAATCCCACCAATAAATAAATATGTATAATGTAACACAATTCAAGAACTACCAATTCCCATAAATTTGAAAGCCTCTGTACAGTGTTTGAGGGCTTTGGGGTTGTACAGATGTGGGATCAAATTCTGGTTTCTTCAGTTAGCAGCTCAGTAACTTTGGAGGAGTGAGAAACTTGACTTTACAATGTGATATTTGGACAATTTTATTAAAAAATTCCGGGTCTATCTTAACCATTTTTAAGTGCATTTTCTTACTTAGTATACTTGGCTATAATCTAAATCATAAAGCAATCCAAGAATTTTAGAGCTGGAAGTAGTTTCTAAAATAATATAAATTCACAATAAAAGGAATACAGGATTAAGCACAAAACTGTTTTTTTGTCAGATTGCTCAGAATTTAAGAAAAGTAACTATTTTCAGTTTGGTTGCATGGAAAGTTCATGTGCACATAACAGCTGGGAGGAATACAAAGCATCTCAGCCATTCTGAAGAGCCCTCGGCCATCAGAATCTTAGATGTTTATCCTTTGGAATCTCAGTCCTAGTTACTTATGTTAGGGGAATACCAAAAGGAATATGCAAGGACAAAAACTCAGGGGAAAATACAGCAGTGCTGGTTGTGGTAGTTAACATTGGAAAACAAGCATAGTAGCCCATGGGCAAAATAAATTACTGTATATCCATGTAATGTTAAAATTAAATATTTCAGAAGAATATTTAATACTGACAGGTGAAACATTCAGGTTTAGTGTTATGTACAATATTTACTGTTTTTCAAAAGAACAGATGTGTAAGTAATTCTTTAACGAAACATACCTGTGTAATAAGAGTGTTGACACTATAAATCATTAGGTTTTTCTTGTTAACTGTTTGGTTTTAGGAATATACATTACTTTATGATAAAAAATTTTAGAATAACTCTGATTTGACATATAAGAAGTTTTTGTCCCACAGAGGCCAAATACTCTAAAATAAGCAGTTTAGTTATTAAGGGGAAATCTTCAGACTACAACCTAGCTTGTTGCTATAGCTGAATTGTCTTTCTAAAACAACATCCTGGTCAGTCCTGGATACCCATAGAGGAGCTGGCTGTGGCCTGTGTGGTGGTCACATTACTGTAATTACTGGAATGTGTCATGGCTGAAGGTAACCTCAGCAGTTGAATATCTTGATGTTCTTGATCTACAGTAAGCAGGGACAATGACTTGGGTTCAGATTCATCAGAGGCCTTTGAAAATATAAAACCCCCAACAACAGGAGTTTTTCTAATAATATGGGAGATGATAGAGCAAGGAGGCTGATTTCTCCTTTTTTAGGAAGGAAGAAGAGGAAAATAAACTACGGAATTAGTATAACTTTGTATTTTAAGTTTATCAGGGATAAAAATCAACTTTTTTTTTTTTGGTGGTACTTGGGTTTGAGCTTGCCAAACAGATGTTCTGCCTACCTCATGAGCCACTCAGCCAGCCATAAAATCAACCCTTAAGTTAATTAAACCCAACTTTTTTTGTGTATGTGTGGTACTGGGGTTTGAACTCAAGGCCTCACTTGGTAGGCAAGATCTCTCCCACTTGAACCATAATTGTCTTACTAAATAATAAATAAATCTTACATAAATCTCCCACCTAGCTGAGATGACAGGTATGTACCACCACAACCACTGTTTTGATTGACATGGGAGTTCTCTAGCTTTTGTCCTCATTGGCCTCGAACTGCTGTCCTTTTGATCTCTATATCCCAAGTTGCTGGGATTATAGGAGGACCCACTGCCACCAACCTAAAACCTAATTTTTAAGTTACACAATATGTATAATATTTAGCACCTTGATCAATTACAATAAAAAATTTAAAATTTTTAATATATTTTATTAGATGTTGTTGAAGAAAAATGACCAGAATGTTTTTGCTCTCATCTTTATGTTTCTGGTGACCATTAGAACATAACAGTTGATACTGTCCTTGCTTCATCCATCCTCAGTCCGCAGGCTGACACCCCAGGGAAGAACCGTCAGTTCTTTTAGTTGTTGCTTAGGACTGCAGCTTCTGTTTTCTGAAATATTACTTAGTAGTTCCTGATTCATCAGTTTTAAATATGGCTTATTTTTTTTCCTTTAATGGTAGTTAAGGATTTAGATCTTACCATTCTTATTTTTCCTTTCAGAAAAATGTTGATTTGGTTTTGTTTTCACTTTTCCCTCTTCCATGTCCTTATTATTATGAGTAAGTAAATCTTGTTCACTGGCTTTTTCTCCTGTAATTTCTTCATAGTTTTTTTGTTTTAATTATCTTCCTATTAGATTTTTACAAATGGTTTTGGTAGATCTGATGTGTTTGAGGCAAACACTCAAGTGTATTTTTCAACAATCTGTCTCTGTCTCTCTTGAACTCTTTTTCTCACAGCTCAGCAGGCACTTGTTCTGGTCTGAGAGACTGGACTCAGCCTGGGACAGAGCTTTCATCCTGAGACTCCTCTGCTGACAGACTAGGTTGTATTTCATTTTCCTCAAAAACACAAGTATAATCACGCACTTTGTGTGACTGGTGTACATCTTGCTGAAACATGTTGTTTTTGTATCTTCCTAGCATATTTTTTCACTCCGTGCATGTCTAAAAATGTCAGTACACTGGCTTTACATTTGTTTCCCACTGTGAATAGGTGAGGTGTTCCAGGTAGAACACCATTTCTCTGTAGACAGTACTGCCTTCTCACACCTGGCATTGCTTTTGCACATCTGTGGCCATTCTCATTCCATCTCTTGGGCCACATGCCTTTTGTCTCCAGAAGCTCTTAGGACAGCTCTCTATCCTTGCTGTTCTGCTGTTTTATGGTGTCTTGTTCTGAGGCTCTTTTCATCTATCATGCTGAGTGTCTTTTCCCTATGTTCTCTGAATATTGCTTTGGTGACTTCCTCTTCTCTTTGTTTTCTTCCTGGAAGTCCTGCTACTCTGGTATTGACTATTGGACTGACCCTCTTTTTTTGTTTCTTGTGCATCCCTGATTTTTTAAAAAATTATTTGCTTAGAGATACCTACTTATTTTCCTAAACCTCATATTGCATTTTTCATTACATCTATGACTTTTGTGTGTGTGTGTGTGTGTGGTGGAGGGGGTTATTTGTTTTTTTGTTTTGTTTTATTTTTTGATCCTCCTGCCTCAGTTTCTTGAGTGCCAGGATTACAAGTGTACACCACCATACTCAGCAATACCTATGTTTGTTTTTTGGTTTTTAATTTTTGAGAATTTTTTTCTTACTTTCTAGTCCTTTTAAAATTAGTATTTTTTATTTTCTGAGTCAGTATGGCTCATCTCACATGGTAGGTGATCCTTGGTTGTCTGTTCATGGTAAAAAAAAAAAAAAGGTACCAAACATGAGTCATTTTGATGGGTACATTTACAGTTGTCCCCCCCGTATCTGGGGGGTTATATGCCAAGATTCCAATGGATACCTAGAACAGCATATAGTATGGAGCTCTATACAAGCTCTGTTTTTTTCCTATACACGCATAACCTGTGATAATATAATTTATAAATTAGGTATATTAAGAAAATAACAAAAATAATAAAGTTGAACAATTTTAATGGTATATTATAATAAAAGCTATGAATATAATTTCTTCCTTTTTATCAAAACATGGAAATTTCCACTTAATGTTTTCAGACCACAGTTGACTTCAGGTAACTGAAGGCAAAAACATGGATGAGGGAGGAATACTGTATTGACTCGTGGGTTTTACTACTACGTAGAAAAACAAAGAGGTAGCCTTCTCACAGGGAGATCTCCATTTGTCAGCATTGGGGTCTTTTTTCTCCAGAGCCTTTCAGTTTCTGCCAGTCTGCTCTCTAGGGAAGGCTGAATGAATCTGGAGGCCTCCATGTGAGACTTTCCATTCAGCATGTCACCATGTCCCTTTGTCCTGGAGTTCAGAGCCCAGTGATTATGTCTTGAATTCAAACCTCTGCCTTTTGTAGGGTTGCTGAAGAGGGCCTTACCTAGGTGGGTGGGATGGAGGAATGGACCTGCCTGGTGGTCTAACTTCTCTGTATTCAGACTTTGAACCAACCCTGCTACTTTTGAGAGTAGGGGCCTCCTCATCCACATGCAGCTCCACATTGAGTCCTTAAGTCCTGCAGGTGAGTGGATTTGCTTCGGGTTCTTATTCCTCTCTGTAGGCACCTGAACATCTGGCCACCAATTCTCCTAAGTAGGTCAATACCCCTTCGCCTGCCCTTGCTTCTCCAGAACGTCATTGTCGTTTCCCAACTATTACTTTCCTGTTCTGTTTGTCCTATGTGTTGGTAACTTTTCAAATATAATGCTAATACAAGAAGACAGCAGAGTAAGTGATAAATGTGTTCTAAAATGTGCTTTACTGAGTTGTCTTTCACATGAGGAAAATAACCAGCCATATCCTTTTTATGAAGAAATAGTTTCCTTTCTAAAAATATTAACTGCCTCAATCTTAAAATTGTCAGTAACACATATGACATTTTTATAAAGGGTCCAAATTATACTTCCAATTGAAAAATGTATCTTGTTCCTAAACTATAATTTTAAACCATCAAGTTGTTCTGCACTTTGATCTGTAATACTGTCTATTTTCTTTAGAAATTCAACTGAGTTCAGCATTGTTGCTGAGGTTTTATATGATCATATTTATAATGGGACAGTATCATAAATGATTTTGTATTTCCTTGCCCTTTTGTGTTTATAAAATCTTAAAATATTTCATATTAAATGTTTATGCATCTTTTCCCCTCCTTTGTTAGGTACTTGGGTTCATTTCAAAATATTACCCAGCAGAAGCAAAACTGTTGCTTAACATTACTAGAGTATGGGGTTTTGTTAAAAACTCCTAATATAATATGGACAGAAGTTATAAAAGAGTCTCAAAAGATAAAATGAAACTATATACACTTTAATAAAATTGTTATTTGAGCTTCCAGAGTAAGAATATTGATTAGGATTAATAATTTTTTTGTGTGTGTCTACATAATTTGATGCTGTATTTTTAAGTGCATTTGGTACTGCAAATTTTATTATCTGCTTATTAGCCCAGTTTGTAGACAGTAGTGTTTGAGTTATATTAATCCTCCAGAGGTTAGTTATTCTTACCTTGTCAGACTAAGATGTAAGTCTAGGTGAAAGCTAGGAAAGGATATAGTGTGTTATCACCATACAGTAGCTTTTAAAAAAAACAAACTTTTTTTTTTTTTTTTGCCTTGCTGGGGATCAAACATTGGGCCTTGCACATGCTGGGTCTGTGCTCTAGCACTAAAGTGTCCCCCAGCTACACAAACATTTTTTATAGTTACACCTGGGGAAAATTGAAAAGGAACCCTTAAAGTCTATGATGATAACAAGATTTCTGGATATTATAATGTTCTAGTTAGTACTAGAGGATCTTAATCCCAAGTGCACACCAGAGCTACTCAGAAGATGACAGATGGGCAGAATGTACCTATGGCTTGAGAACCTCCTGGGTGGGGCTCAGCCTTTTATTTTTCTCTTTCTTTGTTTTTTTTCCCAATATTTACAGATAATTGTGGTGTGTATGTAGGATGGAGAACCATTGTCTTGTGAAGATTAAAGTTTGCTTACTGCAGACAGCTCAGTTTTACTACATTTAGATGTTTATCGATAATAAAGGGAGCATCAGTCATGTGAACATTGAGTCCAGCGTAAAAGAAGAGGAATGGGATAGATAGCGAGATCAGAAAACACTGGAGTTCATATTTGTAATAAACGGAAATGATCACTTACTCCAATGAGCTGAAAATTAGAATGCTTAAAACTTTCATATTATAAATAAATAAATACTTTCATGTTATAAAACATGATTAAGCATTGGTAGCATCAATGTCGTAAATTTGTATTTTCAGCAAATTATCATGAATGTCATCAATGTTATTTGAAGATTTTTTTGATCATTGGAAAGGAAAGGATCTTTTTTTTCTCTAAGTGATGTTTCATATTCAATGTGTGTGAATGATGAATGATTTTGTTTCTGATTCTTGAATTCTTGGCTTGGTTACACATCCTAACTGTGAGTCAGCTGGGCAATTAATCTTTCTCTCTTCTCTTCTTTAAGATAACATCCATGATTTCTTCCAGGTTGGAATTCTTTGGGGCTTTGATTCTAGAAATAGTGATTTCTAAGCTAGAGAAAGTGAATTCGTTGCAAAGGATGTTATTTTGAGCCATATATTTGCACTTATAATATTTGTATTTATCTTCTTTATTCTATGCAGCATAATTTAATGTTTCCTGAAAGTGGACAGTTTTATTACTTCTAGTTGTTTTCTACTATAAAATGAGTTATTGGGATGATCAGTTCATGGCTAATGTATTTTAAATGTTGATTATTATTGTCAAATAGCTCTCCAGAAATATCTCACCAATTAACACTCCTACTAACCATCTATACTCATTTATTCTCATACTTGCCAGCTCTAAACATCATCAAAATATCTTGGCAGGCTGATAGGAGGAGTTGCATTTTGTGATAGGTTTTTAGTTACAGGTGAAATTGATTATTTCTCTATGTTCGCCAACCATCAATATTTATTTTCTTTGTTTATTTTTAGCCAGGTTCTTAATATATATGTAGCCCAGGCTGGCCCCAAACTCAGCCTCACAAGTGCTGAACTTAGAGACGTGCCCCACCACACCTGCCTCAAATTTATTTCCTTGATAATGAGCCATTTATGTTTATTTGCTGACTTTCTGTAGGGTTTTTATATTTTTTTATATTGATATATGATGTTTAGTAAGTTAAGGAATAAAATGCCTTGTCACCTATGCAACAAATGTATTTTTTGGGTTTCTTGTGGGTCTTCTCTGAAGTTTTAAGTTTTTATATAACCAAATTGGTCGGTCTTGTCCATTATGGGTTTGGGTTTGAGTTTGGTCTCTTGCCATAATTACAAATAAGCTTATCACTCATTCTTCTGGAATGTTTATTGTTCAGCTTCTAATGTTTGAATTTTTTATCCATTTGATATCTATTGTCTTGTAAAGACTGAGAGATTCATAGACTTTCAAAAAGAAATCTAATTGGCAAACTTGATTCAAAAGTAAAATGTATAAGGCATTTTTAGTATCTTCCTTTCATTTTAAAAGGTTAAAAATTATGCAGTATCTAAAAGATAGGTAACTGATACCTAGTAACACTGACGGAAAGACCAACTGTCCGTTCATATGATCATCAGTAAAAGATGTTAGCACTGACCACTTTGTGACTTATCTTTGAGAGATATTAGAGTTATTTGTAAGAGGGATATTTTGGATGTGTTTGTTCTTAGGCATTGAATTTTTTTTTTTTTTCGGAGTTTTACTTTGCTTGAAAGGTCTTTCTCTCTGCTCTTCCCTCCCATCTGCTTTTCTTCCCTTCCCTGAGTTTTTAGTTACTCAGCAGAATTTATTGGGTATTTGGGTGTTGATCATATGGCGATGTTCTAACACAGTTCCTATACTCAAATTGCTCTTGGTACTGAAAAATATTCATAACATATCTGAAAAACTGTTGACCCAAGAGTACTTTGGCAAGGCTTTTATTGATGGTTAGGTAATTTGTTGAAGGTATTCAGAATTGCCTTTTACCTCATACTGTGAGTGAGGTGTTTTAAATAATTGAAATGATTTATTGGATATTAAACCTCTGTGTTAAGTTAGAAGAGAATGCAAATGATTGTGTTGTGGACATAATTTTTACATAGGAATTTTGTGACTGTTCATGTCCCTCTGTTATCCAGGTTCACTTCGATGGCTGGAATGGTTGTTATGACTACTGGATAGATGCAGATTCTCCTGATATTCACCCTGTAGGCTGGTGTTCCAAAACTGGACATCCTCTTCAGCCTCCTTTGAGTAAGAGACACAAGAATAACTTGATAAAATGTTTTCATTTTCTTATGTAGGTAGCATGCTTAATTTTTCTTATCCCCTACCTCTTCTTTCTCTTTACTGTGTGTTTCTTCTCTGTGTAATCCTTTTCATTATATTTTTAAATGCCATAGTCATAAAAATATTTAAAAAAACTTATCACTTGAAAAAGTAAAGTATATATAGACATTCTTTTACCTTTATTTAGAGGTAAATGATGCCTTTAAAAATTAGTACTGAATTTTGGAAGGTAATTTCTCTACCAAAATTTAATGTATCAATTTCAGTATCTTAGTGACATTATATTGTAGCTTTACAACCTGTTACTACTAGGATAAACTGTAAAAGAGAGCTTCCTTTATATTATGCCTGCACATGAACCTACAACTATCTCAATAGAAACTTCAATTAAATTTAATTTTTAAAAAGATACACTGAGAACTTATACTGTGATCTCAATTTTAGAGAATATATATCCTGTAGAAAAAAAGTATAGGAAATACAGTAACATATCATCTGGTTTAAAAAAAAAAAATAGTGTTCTTTCCCTGTGTAATGACTTCATTTCCAGATGCTATACATACACTGTGTAAGAGTGCAACAATATGTATTCATAGTATTCATTGCAGCAAATATAAAACAAAAAAACTTGAAAACAAATATTGATTAAATAAATTATGGTGCACCATAGTGTAGTTACTATGCAGCAATCAGAAAGAATATTAATATTGCCACAGAAGATATTATAAAACAAGTCAAGAACCAAAGGAGAATACTTGAAAAAGTACATCTATATTGTACCTTTTATGTGGCAAAATGTTTTTTAAAATCCTGAACTTAACACATGTGTCTAACAAATATAGGTATGTACCTGAATGCTCAGTGCTGCATCCAGGAGCATACACCACCTACCTGAGCAGGATGAGGAAGGGTCTAAAATGTAGGGAACAGCCTGCTTGTGATTTGTAACCATTACTCCATATTCCATTGTGTAGTTTATGTTTTCACATTGTGTGAATATTCTTAGGACAATTTGTTACTTTCTTGATGAAAAAATTCTTTAAATCTGTCTTATTTATTCAGGTTTAGGTATGTCTGTAATTTGTGACATTTTGAAAGAGGGTTAGACCAAAGTTTACCATTTCACTATTGAAGAAGGAAATTGTGGAAACAAAGTCATAGAGAAAAACCTTTAAAAGTAGAGACATTTAAGATACTTTTAATTTTTATAGGACCACCTTATTTTTCTGTTTATATGTATTGATTCAAAATTTGGATTTTTAGGGATTTTTTTCTCATAGTCTGATCCCAGACATTTAACTCTTACTGCCCTCTGCTTAACTCTCCCCCCCGCCCCCTTTTATTTGTCATAGGTGCCATAGAATTAATGGAATCTGCAGATCAAGGTGGATGCCCAAATCTAGGGTGTAAAGGGATTGGCCATTTTAAGAGAGCAAGGCACCTGGGTCCTCAAAGGTATGTGCTTGCTACCATTCACATGAGGATTGTGTACAGGGTCACGTATCGGGTACTTGTTCCCCATATCTCTATAAGATGATTTCCTTGTACATAAACAGATGTGAACTAATTTTATATTCAGATCCATAAGAAATGTGGTTACCATGGAGACCATGTGAAAATAAAGTATATATCTAAAGTTAAATCTTCCTGAGAGAAAATGCGTTAATGGCTTAAAATAGATTTACTCTAGCTATTTAGCTTTTCTTGGCAACCTGACTAGTTTTACAGATACATAGCTTCTGAAATAGTTATTTTGGGTTGACCATCAGTGATTAACGATTAATGAAGAAGGAAGGCTCTATTGAAATTACTTGTGATTAGATGACTTCATAGTTTGAATAATGAAGGAGTAGATTATTGAAGTTAGCAGTGATGATCACAAAAAAAGGCACAAGTATAGTCAAATACAAGAATGTGAATGGTAAGGAAAATGATTTTTCAATATTTTTCTCTTATTCTTAATTTAAAAATGAAACAAATCTGTATATTTAAATTTGATGTACTACTTAGGTGATTTGGGGATCTTTGTAGACATTTAAAAAATAATACTTAAATGCCAACAAATTCTGTGATTTAATTGGGATTCTTAAGGGACAAGATGATACCATTCAGCTATGTGTTAAAGTAATAATATGTTAATATGTGTTGTAAACACATTAATTAGATTGCCCTCTAAGAAAAGTGATTTCTTGTTTATCTAGTTTTATAGGTTGTGAATCTAGATCTTTTAAAATTCTGAAATTTCAATACCTGTTCTCCAAGAGTTAATAGGAATTGCAAAATTGGTGTAATTATTTTCCTCTGTATGTAGTTTCATCCTTCTTTCATCGCTGCAACCTCAGACCTGCTTATCTTCCTTTTGCAACATTCCTCCCTAGTTTTTTAAGAGGTTCAGTATGTTCCAGAATAAAAAATCCAAGTATAGACAGTATGGTGATTCCATTTGCAAATATCCATTTAAAAATCCTTTTTGTTGCTTCTATGGCTGCCAAAGAAAAGTTATAGAATTAATTTAAACAGTTAAAATGCTATATCTTAGAAGTTATTAAATTTTGCCTAGTAAAGACAGCTGTGGTTTACTTCTCAAATGCTGGGAAAATCTAAATGCAAGAACTATGTCATTAGCGTGCCTAATTTCCATGGTATATTCAGAAACTCTTTGGTTCAGTAAATATTTCTGAGAAGCAACTTTTTCAGTAAGAACAACTAACACTTACTGAGCATTTTTTTTATGCTATGTTAAGAATTGCTCTAATTGCTATACAAGAATTAGATAGGTTTCAGAACAACCCTAGGATACAGAACTGTAGTCCTGGAGAGATTTAGCAACTTGTCTTACCTAATACCTGGTGGGGGGGGGTGCTGGTTTCTGTTTTGTCTTGTTTTTTTAAGTGTATATTAATTGTACAAAGGAGTTTCATTGTGATATTTCCATATGTACATACAGTATACTTTGATCAAATTCACTCCCTCTTTCCCCCCTTTAAACAACTTTTAACAGGTTACATTATTCTGTTTTCATACATGTGTATGAAGTACTTCCATCATTTGCACCCCCTACTTCACCATCTCCTTTCACCCTCCTGGTTCCTCCCCCAAAACTGTACCCCCTCCCCCATTTTGCACTCATGCTATAAGGTGTAGCTCCTACATATAAGAGAGAACATGTGATATTCTCCACAAATGAGAGAGAAAATGGGATATTTGTCTTTCTCAATGTGGCTAATTTCACTTAGCATGGTAATCTCTTATTCCATTCGTTTTCCTATAAATGATACAATTTCATTCCTCTTTCTGACTGAGTAATAATCCATTCTTTCTGTGTGTGTGTACACACATACATACACACACCACGTTATGGGTGAGATTCATGGACTTGTTCATGGAGAAATGTGGTAATCTCTCCTAATGTAATCAGAGCCATGCCAGAGAAGTACTCCTTTCCCTGGAGGATAAGCAGAAGTACTTCTTATGGCTGAAATGACAAGCATTGATGAAGAAGCCATATTCATTTCTTTGTCCCATACAGGGCATAGCTAGCAGATTCTGTGCCATGGGCAGAGGACTGTAGTTTACAGAACTGCTGGCAGGTTCCAGCTTCTGCCCAAATGCTGTGAGTGCTGTCTGTGTTTGTCCGTCCCAGTCATTGAACCAGGTTTTCTTAGACTCCCTGGCTAGACTGTCCTATTTTCAACCCTCAGCTCTCTCTTTCAGGCAGGACATTAATCCTTAGCAGGAACATCCAGTTTTCCATTGCATTAGTAGACTTGTGGAATAGCTTATTGCATCATGGATATTCTCTGAAAGGTTCATTTCACTGGCACTTATTTCTGTCCTTGCTAAGAATGCTGTGTTTAGGAAAACATAATGAAAAAAATCTCTTTGGATTAATTTACTGAGAAACTGAATAAATCAAAACATGCATTCTTTGCTTAGATAACAAGGAAAGTTACTCTTTTAGCTAGAAGAGTTAGCTTTATTATCACATAAGCAAAAGACTGTTTTGACTGGCATTTGTTATAACTGTCTCTGAAGATTACAAATTGAATTTGATCTAAGAAGTGTGAGAAACCATGCATGCATCTTCATCATGAAGTTTGAGAACCTGACCTTTTTACGTTGGAATATAAATGATCACTGAGGGAGTTGGATATGGATATGGTATTCTCATCTCAGGGATATTCAATAACCAGAGTGCTTAGTCATGACTAGCAAGAGAGGATTAATACGGGTTGCAATGTGGTGTTTCCCTTTGTCAGTTCATTCATTTGGCCTACTGAGAGGTAAAAGAATGGTAGAGGAGTTAAAAGAGAATTAAAGTTATATAGTAGATATGCTATATATCTAGTGCCTTCAGAAGTATATCTGTTCTATATAAAATTTGATCTTGGAAAAATTAGACAAGATAATGTGACAGAGTATTTCTGACAACCTCCAAAGGGTATTTATGAAATCTGTAGAATGTTTTACAAATTAGTAACTCTGAATGCATACTTGCAAACTGTAAGCCTCATGTTAAATCAACATGAATCCATCGAACACATACTGGTACAGGGCTTGCTTTGTTACCCTGCTGAGTTAGGTATACAGAGGAGAGGGTCCCTACTTCTAAGGAGGCTGCTTAGAAATGTGTAAATGTGGCACCACTGGCTTTTTCTGAGGGAAATGGTATCTTCACAAATGAGGCATGTTATGGAGCTCTTAGTGCTGTGGTTTATTTTTCCTGATGCTCTTTTGTACAAGAGGGGGGTCACATGTCACTCTTCTCCTTTTCAAGTAATATGCAGGGTGCACTGATGACTTCCTGTGTTCCAGTGCTAGTCTAAGCCCTCATTTGTGACCTCATTTCATCCTTGAAGCAGTCTAAAAATTAGGCACTGTTTGCAGATGAGGAGAGGTTTGAGGGCTGAGTCAGTGCCCGGGATCATATACTGGCAGGAGTAGCATGCAACACAGCCCTGAATGGCCTTTATATCTCTACTTTTAACTGCAAGGCTTGCATGTAGTGCACTGTCATCTGATAGAGCGTGTCTCATGTTTTTTGTCAGAATTGAGTGTGAGGATGGCTATGTGATCCCTTAAACTGGAGATCTTGCCTAATTGCTTATGTAAATAGAGTTATGGTTAAGAGTTTTAAAAATGGCATTGGAGAGCAATGGATAAAGTGGTCCTTTCTCCTTATCTAATGAACTTGACCAATGTTTTCTGGAAATACTGCCTCCTAAGAGGGGCCAGTGGGGCAAATGTTTGTTTAAATGGCTACTATGGAGTAATTTGCTAATAGAATAGGATACAATCTAATAGTTTTTACAGGAGAGAACAGTGTAATTGTACATGAGTATCCTGCTCTCTGAAGAATTGCTTAATAGTAAAAATGTGTGTGTGTGTATATCCATGATGGAATACTCACACTGTGATGAATCAAACCTTACTCAAGTTTGATTCAGTCACACATGGAAATCTAGAAATTATCATAATCCAAATGAGCACTGTCTCTTTGTGTAGAGGTTTAATCAGCACCAATGAATTTTTAAAATTCATAAGCAGTTTTAAAAGTTAATCACTTCACATTTATGCATAATAGAAGAAATACTGAACAGAAAAATCAACATTTCTAAGGTGATACAAATCATATATCTTTTGTGCTGTTATAAGTGACAGACCCAGAAGTGATCCTAACTCCTTGAAAAAACTGATTACCTATGAATTTCACTATCCTAATAATTCTTAAGGGATAGTTAATGGGAGAGGATGAGATAGTTAAATACTTGGCTTATGTCTGTAGGTTGGCTTGCTTTGAAGATATCAGATGAACATTATTATTTTTTGTTTGTTTTGCTTTGGTTTTTTTGGCTGCACTGGGCTTTGAACTCAGGGCCTCACACTTGCTAGGCAGGCACTCTTACCATCTGAGCCACTCCTCCAGCAGATAAGCATTTTTTTACAAAGCTCTCTTCCCTTGAGCTGATACTTCACTTTTCTGTGTCAGCATCCCTACTTGTAAAATGAGTGATAGTGGTATCTGATTACTAGGAGTGATGTGCTAAAGGAGTTAATTCATATGGAGGGGAGGGCTTGGGAAAGTGCCTGGCACATAATAAGTGTGCAGTACATATGAGGTGTATGCACTATAGAAGGCAGTCATCTGCTCTCTTGTTCTCAGATCGATTTCATCATCATGAATTAGGAAAAGGAAATTCTTCAATATTGCAGGTTGCCATATACCCTGATTGTATGGCAATTAAGAGACAACCATTGTTCATGATCCACCTTCACCAGGAACTAATTGCATAATATATCACAAGTCTTCCTTGAAGCCTTGGTTTCTACATGCATAGAATGAATTTTTGAACAGTAACTACTTCCCAGAGTTGTGAGAATTAAAATGAGGTAAGGCCAAGAATGTACATAGCTGGGTAATAAACTCAGTGCACCCCTCATTTTGTAAATGAAGTGACAACCTCAACAGGTTTATATTGAGTCGAGGACAAAGTAGCAGAGCTCCTTCAGAACATGATTCCCTGATGTCTACTAGCATCTTGCCCATGCTGCTGTTGTTGCTTCAACATACTTTGTTTGGTTTTTGGAATCCCTTTTTTTTTTTTAATCACTTTCCTCTTCAAGAGCCAGCTGGATTTCCCCTCTAACTTATGTAGGTATGAGAATGGGAGGCTTGCAAACCCTTGTAACTTTTCTTGGGGCTCAGAAGAACAGAGGGGATTATAGTATAAAAGCTGTAGCTGAATCATCATGGGCCTCCCTTGGAAGATTGTCTCTATTTATCGTTAGTAAATTTCTACTGAGGGCTATGGCGGTTTTCCTATTGTAGATTGCGAGTTTGAAATTCCTTTCCAGCTTGGACAGTCTGTTTTCAGAAAATAAATAAATAAATAAAGGAAATATTTAGACTACAAGACTTCTGCACAGCAGTCTTGGCTTTCTCTGAGCTATCAAGTTTATATAAGATGATTTAGAGAGACGTTCTTTTCTTCATTCAACAAAATGATGATGAAGTGCTACCCTCATACAGTTATAATATAATTGTCTACACTGCAACTGTACCAGTGGTGTTCAGTTGGGAACCCAGCCCATCTGAGAATGCTACAGCCTTCCCAGTGTTGGAAGTTGATAGTATTAAGAAGAGGACCTGTTATGGTTTGTTTTTTGCATTTTTCCTGCCAGATCACATTCCAAGGTAAATGCATACACCATTTTTCACTCATCACAAAGCCATGAGTTTAATGCTGAATGAACTTGACGATGCTGGTTGGGCTGCTCTAGGATAGCTGCTGTGCTATACTCTTTATCAAAAGGACCCAAAACATTATCTTTGGATTTTTTTTTTGTCATTACAAAATTCAAGTAGATAACTTTTCAGTAAAATCACAATGATACAAGGAACACAGAACAGAATAAAATCAAAGATGACTAAGATCCAGGGCTAAGATAATTTATTGCCTTTGCCAGAACAGAGGATCAAGTTTGGCAAGAGAAGCTAATTGTGTTTTTTAAATTGCTCTGTATACTTGCTGTTTTTTTTTTAAATCTTGGGTGTCGGGGGTGGTTCATTGGAAATAAGTTTGGTTTAAAACGTGTGTTATGAGGTAACTCTGGGATGCCTGAGTAGAAATGTTCAGTAGACATTTGTACCCTGAAATCATTGATGCCTGAAATCAGCATCAGGGTTAACAAGGTACGCCCTCCCTTAAGGTAGCTGCAAGGCAGTGAGGCTGTTTCCCTTCTTTGTCAGTTGCAGTATAGGCAGAAGAGCCAAAAATATACCCACTTGGGTGCTGCTATCTGGGTTTTCCTTCTTGAGGAGTGGTGTGAGGCAGGGCAGCAGTGGTGTGAAGAATATAAGAGGCCTGGAAGTTGTGGGAAGCCTGAAACCTGTGGACACATGGTGTGTCCCCAGCAGCCCCATCCTGTGCAGATGGTTTCTGAGGTGACGTGCTGGGTATAACTGGCTTCCTGCCCAAGCCTGATTGTGTTGCCTTCCTGCTAAGCTATCAGGTACCCTTCCCATAAGTTTCTTTCTGCTCAGAACTTACTGGTTTTGGTCATTTGTATCCGTGAATTCTGAGTAGCACTAGTGTCCCAAGAAGGATCCCAGGAAGGGCTGGGGATGGGTTTTCCTTCACATTATTAGTAAATGAATAAAATTAAGTGAAATGTTATGCCTGTTCTAAGTAAGATGAGGGGTGCTCATTTTGCTGAGCTACATAAATTGCGATGAGACCATGGGCAAACAATATTTCTACTTGAATGTCTAAATAAACATTCCACAATTACTGATATTGCTTCCCAGTCTACTCCCTAGTCATTCTTATCTCCAGAAAAATAAATGGTGTCTGTATTATCTCCAGTTTTTCAACCAGAACACTAAAGACCATTCTCAGACCCTTTATATCATGTACCATGTTCTGTCCATCCACAGGTCATTGTGGAATCTCAGAAGATACTTTTCCTCTACTTCAACCACATACATCCAAGTCACCATCTTACCTTTTACTCTTAAATACTTACCTTGCTCCAGTGCTGTCCCCTTGAAATCTCTCTACAAAGCATCCTGAATGATCTTTTTACTTATTTTCTTGGGCTTTTATTTATTTATTTATTTTTCGGGGCAGAGTCACACTACGTAGCTCAGGCTGGCCTCTAACTCATGATCCTTGGGCTTCAGCCCAAGTTCTGGGATTACATGTATGTGCCACCAGGCTCCTCTAAATCTGAGTATCCTTTCTAAAAAGCAAGTATTTATCGTTCCTGAATGTGAAGATCTCATTGACTTCAAATAGTACCTGAAGTAAAAATATGAACTCCTCACTGAGGCCTACTGGTCCCTGCGTGATACTTCCTCTGCCTCAACCCTCTCTCTAGCCAAGCTAGAAAATGAAACAGCCTGGGACTTCACTGGGCCTGGGGGAGCCCCTTTGGAAACAGATTGGCTCTCTCTCCCATCTCTGTCTGTCCCCCCTGCCCCATTGTATCTTAAACCTTTCTTTCTTGGAGCTGATTATTCCCAGGTCCTCCCCATGAACAATACAAAGATAACCCTTCCATGACCATTGGTCAGTTCCAAAGATTGCAACAGACGTATTTTTTTCAGAATATACTTAAATTATGTTTTAAAGATACATTTCATACTACATATTAATAAAGATATATAACATGCTCAGTTCAATTTTGGAATTTTATATTCTACAGCCTGACATTTTGATAGTAAGAAGTAAGTATAGTCTAATGGAAGTGTTTTCTTTTTCTTTTAATCTGTCAGCGCTGCCAACTGTCCCTATTCAGAAATCAACTTGAATAAAGACCGCATTTTTCCAGATCGTTTAAGTGGTGAGATGCCTCCAGCAAGTCCATTTCCAAAACCTAAAAGAACAGACGCAATTGAAAGCTCTTCACCTCCTGAAATCAGGTAATTAAAGCGATGATATTCACGTTGTTTAGAAGTACTCTGATTGAAGGGGTTGTCTGTCTTAGATGTTTTATTTTCTTCTATGGCAATGTTTTTCTTGTGGATTGTTGAATGTATTTGATTTAATGTGAAATGAAGGTTGAGATCAGTACTTCAAAGCTCCCTGTCTTATATACTGACTCACATTTTCCCAAGATTACATCCTTTCTGCCTTGCTGTTGGATGCTTTTTCCAAATCTTAACTTGAAATCAGCTGTGGTGGTCTGCATCCTTAACCCCAGCTAATCAGAGGGTTGAAGCAGGGTGACTGCTTGAGCCCCAGAGTTTGAGATGAGCCTAGGCAACATAGTGAGATCCCATCTCAAAAAAAAAAAAAAAAAGAGTCAAACCTTAATTATAAACTTTCCAGGCTGGAAACAGTGTCTTTTTCCAGTGCATTTCCTTCTTTTCAAGAAAATCTGAGCCTGTTACATAACTAGTTACATTGTATTTGGCTTTTGTGTGTGTGTGTGTGTGCATTTTAATAATTTCATATTGTATTTGGTTATGAAGAAAATGGTTGAAGGTGTCCATGTCTAACTCATGGGAAGATGCTGACAGCTACAGTGCTCTGCCTCTGGCCTGGGATTAAGCAGGAGTCCATAGTGGCAGAAGTCCACTTGTCACAGTGTGGAGAGGACCTGATCCCTCTCCAAGGAAACCCTGAACCCTTCCTTATTCTTTAGCTTATTTGCTTTAATTGCATCTTCCAACTCTCACTTTCTGCATCACCTTTGTCCACAGCCAGGCTTCAAAGTATAGGATACTGGAAAAAGCTACCATGTAGATTTGTGACTAGTTATATAGAACTCTGCTTTTCTTCTCACATAACCAAAAAATAATGTCACTTCCACCTTGGAAAAATCAACAGTACACCAAAAGGTTAGAATAAAAATGATTATGCACTTTCTGCTTGGTTAAAAAGAAATTAGTTCCTAAAAATCTAAAGGTATTAAGTAATGTCATTTTCATGAAAAGCGTCTGTTATTCCTGGTAGTAAAGTAAAACTTTTCTAAAGATAAATTTATTACTGATATATTAAAAAACATTTATCACTGATAGTATATGAGAATGGTTCCTGTTTCTTTTAGATATTTTTTTCAGTAAATACTATCCATGGGGCAGTCCTTTTTCTGTTTATGACCTTCCTAGTTGTAGCATAATATACACAAGCCAATGAGGGATGCTAAAACATTGGATATAGAAATGTGATGAACTAAACTTTCAGTTTTTTCTCTCTATCTAACTTTGACTCTTTGCATTATACTGTCATTCCCCAAGCACAGCCTTCTAGCCTCTTACTATGGCCTTTTCCTCCACGGAGGAGCATGATAACTTGGCAAATAAAAGCACAGAGCACTGATGGGTTTTAAATCTTAGTTTCTCTACCTGCTAGGTATGACCTTTGATGAGTTAATCAGTTTTTGGTTTAGATCTCATAGTTTATGAGGGTTATATGAGATGAAAATTGTAAATGTAATGCTTTTAGAATAGTGACTAAATAAGTAATAAGCCCATAATAAATGTTAGTTTTTAATAATGTTGCTGAAAGAATAATAGGTTCCTTATTTGTTTCATACCATAGGCGTGTTCTTTATCCAAGATACTTGGAACCATAAGTGTTCCCGATTTGGAAATTCTTTTTTTAATTTTTTTTGACTGTTTACATAGACATTACAAGTTAGCCATCCCTAATTTGAAATGCTCCAAAATTGTTGAAGAAATTTCTGATTTTGGAACATTTTGCATTTCATATTTTTTGAATTAGAGATGTTCAACCTGTATTTCTTTCCTTCCTTAAGAGTAGAAAAGTGGCTGGCCATTTTCTTTAATATTCCAAGGTTAAACTTTGAATAGGTAACTCAGATAAGATTCTTATAATGTACAGTTATGTTCCTCTTCTTTTCTCATAATCGTTTGTTTACCTGGATGCAATTTCCTACTCATGTTTTAGCAAATTTTCTTTGCATTGTTCTTAATAACTTGCTAAAATTTGGTTGCCATTCTCTACTTTTTTTTTTTTTAATGCACTTGGCTACATACAATAGAGACAACCGCACTCCCGAAAATAAACACAGGAATTTGATTGTAAGTGGTTTATTTGGGGGGGTGAAGAGAGCATCAATAGGGGAGTGAGGGAGTGAGACATAGGAGAAGGAAAGCAGTCAGAAGAAGTATAGTTGTAACACCAGTTACCACAGTGGACAGCAGGAACACAAACTTGCTGGGACACATATCAGAACCAGCCCAGAATAGGGATGAGGGAGCTGAACTGTTCACACACTTACTTCCTTCTGAATACTGCAGGAAAGCAATGCAGGTAGGACAGGTGAGCATTGGGTCCATGTGTGCTGAAGTGGGAACTTGAGACCAGAGACCGTGGTTAATAAACCATATCCTATTACCAACCCACCTATTCCAAATGGCAGACAGTCCCCAAAATACAGCATGTACTTTTGCTCCAGGAGCTGAAATAATATGGCCAAGAATAAACAGTGCAAGGCACATGTATATTCTTTTCATACAGTAGCAGGCCACCTACTCAAGACAAGCCTGTGTGCAACTAATGCTCCATAGTAGTAGTTCGCAAACTTGGCTTCGTGTGAGACCCCTGCAGCCTCTTTAAAATTCAGATTTGGAGACCTGTCCCAGCCCACCAGAATCTTCCAAGGTAAAGCCTTGGACTCTGCATTTTAAAAATTAATTTGAGAGTATAACTCCCTGCTTAAACTTTTAGTGACTTCCTTTTACTTAAGGATTAAGACCTTAATTCTTACTGCAACCTACAGAATTTTGTATTATCTGACCCTTGCCTAACTCTTCAGCTTTATCTTTTTCAACCAAATGGTTCAACCACTCTGATCCTGAAACCTCCTTTTCCCTCTACCTAGGACCTCTCTCTGCCTTCTAGCTAATCTTTCATCTTTCAGGTTACAGATTTATTGTCTTTTCCTCAGGGAAGCTTTGACCACCCCTCCCCCAAAGACTGTAGATCACGTTGAGCACTCTGCTTTTGTATCACACATCCTGATGCTATCAAAGTTGTGTAAACACTTCCTCAGAGTCTGTGTACTTTGCTTGATGATAAGCTTCACAAAGGCAGAGGCCATGGCCTATCTGATCATGAGTTACCATATCTTGCATATAATGGTGGCCTTGAATCATCCATCAGTCTTGAAAGTAGACGTGCCAGTTTTATGGCCTAAGAAGCAGTAGCTTTACAACCTTCTTTTTGTTCACTTAAAACTCCTACATTTTCACCTTTGTAAGATTACCTTACCAGGTATCTAAAGAGTGATTACTAAATGATGAGATAAATTCCCCAAATATAGACCTAAACTCTTATAGGGCGATGCTCCCATCTGTTGTTTACTTCCTGGCCCACATAAAGATACTACAGAAGAAGCAGCATGTTTGTGGCACACCGAGGATATGGGCCAGGCCGCCTCCCAGTGACTAGCGAGGGTTGCATGGGAATCAATATTCTGGAGTTCTGGTACCAAGAGATTTAGGGCATTGTCTTTGAGAAGTCCTGGCCCTTACTCAGATGGCTCCCCCTTGAGCCTTTTTGTAGGTGTGCCAATGCTTGGACCTGTTTTTCTATGGAAATTGGTCAAATGGGTGTGAGCAAATTCCCAGTGCCTGCATAGGTAGAAACATGACTACCCAGTCCTTTTCCACCTGCCCATTCAACCATGAGAGTTAGGAGTCTGTATTGTGCCTAGTGCTTTCTATGAGATGACGTCCTTGCTCAGGACAGCGCAGCTCATTGCTGCCCTCAGAGCACCCCTGGCAGCAAGATGGTAGCTTTTCCTGGGTCTCTACATATCTATAGCTGACAAAAAGAATGTGTTTGTGTGTGTGTCTCTCTGTGGGTCTCAAACTTACATTCACTTTGAATACTGCAATGCTTATTAAAATATGACTTTTGAGCCACCATTCCTAGGGATTCTAAGTCAGGAAGTAGAAAGTGATCGTGTGTTGGACTTTGAAAGTGAATATTAAATATAAACACCCATCAGAATGAAAACATCCGACATCTATCCTATGTAATCTTATTCTTGTGAAATCTATCCTCAGCAGTTTGTACTTGTGTTCTAAATTAGGGTTAGATGCTATCTCTACTAAAAATCACTTAATGTTTTCAGTTCTCATGTTTAAGACTGCTTAGACATTACCACAGAAACACAATAAAGCATCTTTAAAATGCTTGCCAAATGCTTGTATTACCTCGTAAGGCAAATGCCCACTGCTAAAGTAGTCTGATGAAATAATCCAGTCCATTCAGTTCATTATAGGCCATTAAAATGGCTTCTTGGTTGTAGGACCCGTGTTTCCATTCTGAGAATTACATAGTGCCTGGTGCAGGAATTGCTACCATCAATCTAATTTATATTTTTCACACAAATTCAATTTGGCTAGTCACATCACAAGCCCATTTATACCCTACTTAACAGATGGGAAAATGAGCTAACATAAAATACGAATCTATAAGCAGATACACATCTACTTACTTTGCAAAACTATCACACCAGGCAGAATAAAATTAATTTAGGGCTAAAGTTCTAAAAGATTACAAAAGTTAATTAGTAGTTGTGAGGAACATGGTTTTGCCTCCTGAGGTTTTCTGGGCCTGAGGGTTTGGTGTGGGAGATAAGAAGAAGTCATTTCATTTACAAGGCATTCCTTGGCTTTGCAAAACTTCCCTCCCTTCTGTCCTTGGGCTGCAAGGTATAAATTAGGAACTGAGGAAGTTTTGTAATATTCCAACCCTTGGAAATCTGAGTATAATCTGTGAAGCTGTTTGTGTGCACCAGAGAGAAGATTAGTGTTAAAACCCTCACAGTTCTCGTGCCGACCGCTGTGATAACCAAGGCAACCATTCAAAGTGTAAGGAAAAGAGTGGTGTTGTTAGATGACTGAGAAGTTGTTGGGACAATATTGTAACAGGATCTTATTTT